GGACTGGCAGACCGGGGTGGTGGTCCCCATCTTTAAGAAGGGGGATCACACTCCTCAGCCTCCCTGGGAAAGTCTATGCCAGGGTGCTGGAAAGGAGAGTTCGTCCTGCTAGTCGAACCTCGGATACAGGAGGAACAATGCGGTTTTCGTCCTGGTCGCGGAACACTGGACCAGCTCTTTATCCTCTCCAGGATACTTGAGGGTGCATGGGAGTTTGCCCAACCAGTCTACATGTGTTTTGTGGACTTGGAGAAGGCATTCGACCGTGTCCCTCGGGGTGTCCTGTGGGAGGTGTTGCGGGAGTATGGGGTGTCTGGCCCATTGCTACGGGCCATTCGATCCCTATACAACCGTTGCAAGAGCTTGGTTCGCATTGCCGGCAATAAGTCGGACTCGTTCCTGGGCGGATGATGCCCATATGGAAAAGAAATAGAAAAAACTTATAAAAGACTTGCATAAGATGTGGCCTACTTCATATAGTGAATCATATAAGGCTTATATGATTTACTCATGAAAGTGGCCACTTTCATATATTGTTTTAGTAAGTATCCAAAACATACAAGTTTCATTTATATAATTTTTCAAGGGATCTTATATCTGTTTTCACTCTTGTATGCTTTTCATACAAGTTTCACACAAGACAGATACAAACTTTATAAGATTTATATATATCTTTTCCATATGGGTGGCTCCGATTCTGTCATAATTTTTATGGACGGGATTTCTAGGCGCAGCCAAGTGGCGGAGGGCTTTCACTTCGATGGCCTCAGAATCTCATCTCTGCTTTTTGCGGATGATGTGGTTCTGTTGGCTTCATCGGGTGAGGGCCTCCAGCTCCCACTGGAACGGTTCGCAGCCGAGTGTGAAGCAGCGGGAATGAGGATCAGCACCTCCAAATCTGAGGCCATGGTTCTCAGCCGGAAAAGGGTGGAGTGCCCACTCCGGGTTGGGGATGAGTTCCTGCCCCAAGTGGAGGAGTTCAAGTATCTCGGGGTCTTGGGCGTGAGTGATGGGAGAAGGGTGAGAAGTTCAGCCATCCGGGAGGGGCTCAGAGTAGAGCTGCTGCTCCTCCACATCAAAAGGAGCCAGCTGAGGTGGTTCGGGCATCTGACAAGGATGCCCCCTGGGTGAGGTGTTCCGGGCATGTCCCACCGGGAGGAGGCCCCGGGGCAGACCCAGGACACGCTGGAGAGATTTATCTTTTTTATTATTATTAATCCTTTATTTATCCAGGTAAAAAATCTCATTGAGATTAAAAATCTCATTTCCAAGAGAGACCTTCATCTCTCGGCTGAAATGGGAACGCCTTGGTGTTCCCCCGGATAAGCTGGAGGAGGTGGCTAGGGAGAGGGAGGTCTGGGCTTCTCTGCTTAGGCTGCTGCCCCCGCGAACCGGCCCCGGATAAAGCAGAAGAAGATGGATGGATGGAAGTATTTGTGAAGCTGTGACTCAACATGTCAATTTTTTTCCAATTTCAAAGAATCCTTCCAAAAGTTGCTGAATCCAACACTTTAGTCACTTCTAAGCTGGAATGATCCCCACTTCACATAAAACCATCATGCAGATCCATCATTTCCTTTGGAGTATTCCTGCTAAAGAAACAAACTGAAAAAAGTCACACAAGCTACTTGGTGGAAGTCATCTCTTTTTAAATAAAATAAACAGAAATTATATATTAAAAAAATACATCCACAAAAATAAAGCAAATCGTCAAAAAAAAAAAACATTAATCAAATACAAATTAAAGTTTTGGCTTGAAATTAAAAACAGTGTTTCCTAAGCTTTAAAGACCTACAAACATTCCAATCTGCTGCATGAAAAGAAGTGAGGTGAAAAGCATTTAAAAGTTAACCTCGAGTAAACTTGTAGCATTGTTATTCAATCCAGAGTAGGAACCAACTTCCTCTCATCACAGGATGATGGTGGGGTTTAGGCATTTTTGTCTTTCAGTGTCTTTCAGACTTCATAACGTTACTGTACAGCAGTGTTGGGCAGCTCTAAAATCTCAGACGCTATCCCGTCTGGGCTTGTGGCACCCTCCGCTTCCTGGTTGTGCTGAAGGATATCTTGCAGCAGGATGGTGTTGGAGAGTCTCCACTCCCTGTACATGAGCGCTGTGACATTTGGTTCATTCAGGATCTTCTCCAAAGCCAGCAGCTCGGACTCTTTAGCCTGAAAAACACGAGTGTTAGAAACATGCAGTGATCCTCCATCAGGCATCAGCTCATGAAGGAATCCAAACAGGGTGTAGATTACTCTAATGTTTAGTGTAGGGTGTCCCCAAAAGCGGGTCAGTTCCCATTAACTCCCTTGTTAAAATGTCCAGTTTTACAGAAGAAAAGACCTGCTACAAGAAAACAGCTCAGGTCGGGAGCGATAGTTTGGAGATATTATTGTTAATAAAGTCAGAGGCAGTCACAGAAATAGTCAGTCTGCATGTCAACATCGATTGACCCTGTATTATGCAGGACAGCTAGCATTAGCTGATAGCTTAGCAATTCAACATTGCAGTTGGCCATTGATCAAAGACCACTGATCAATGGCCACGAGTACCATTAATTATTGATCACCAACCAAACTAAGTTAACAATAAAGGATCTTGAACACCCTCTGCACCACTTACCACACATGTAGCCGAACACTAACATCTGTTACAGCTCTGCTGCTTCAAGGACAGGTGCAGACAATCCTTACCACCATGATACCTGGATTCATTTTCAAGAATAGCTCCTTACTGTATCATATTCGTATGTGTATATGTGTATTTCTATGTAATTGACTGGTGTTACACAGTAATTTTTTCCAAATTTTGGGATAAATAAAGAATTTATTGTTTGATATTATCTAAGTATGTGGTTTAGCTTCTTATATTAAACTGGCTGTAAACATGATAATTTCGACTGTAAAATTGGACACTTTAACACGTCTTTTGGGATTGACTCACTTTTGGAGCCAGGCTGAAGCAGCCATTAGAGGAATCAACACGCTGTTTGGATTCCTCCATCAGCTGATGAAAGATGGCCCTTTGACATTTCAACCCCAGGGTCTGCTGCTTGATAACAGCACGTGTAACTGAGTACCTAACCCTTTCATTTTTTTTTGGCATTTAGTTAAAGACAAAAGTTCAGACTCACCTTTAATGTGCTTTTGAGTATCCGGACCAGGTGAACCTTTTCGTTGACTTTTTCATTCTTACATCGCCGGATAAATGAGGCCCTGAAGTCCCTCTGAAATGTCTGTCCAGTTGGATTGACGCTGGCTGCTTTCAGATGGTTGTAGAGGCTCTCCATCTCATCTGGCGTTTTTTCTGGAAACAGGAAAAAAATCAGTAAGGTTAAGTAGCAGGAGACGACATGATAACCACGTGTAGCTGCAGGTGTTTACCCTGGACTGTGTCCTCCTCTTTTTCCTCTCTAACATGAATTAGAGGAGGAGTCTGTGTTCCGCTGGTTTCATCCTGCTTGGGGAGGTCCAGCCAGGACAGACGACCACTGCCCTCAGAAACTGGTCTTTGTCTTCGGTTTTTGCTCATAGAGCTTCCAGCCGAGCTGGTTCTACTTCTGCTTTCAGTGATTATTGATGAGACGGTGGGGAGTGAGGTGCAGGATAAAGACTCCCAGGGTGGCTGAAGACGGTTTCCCTGTGAAAAGGGCAGAAAGTGTTTCAGAATATGTGTTTTCAGTCATTTTAAATTTAAGATTAACCCTTGATTAACCCCTATCCCAGTGAGAGATACAACCTGGACAAGTTGTCAGTCTGTCACAGGACTAACACAGAGGGGAAAAAACAGTTCACACTCACAGGCATGCTAGAACAACCAATCAACCTGACCCCATACACGTCTTTGGAATATGGTAGGAAACTGGAAAAAACCCACTTAGGAATCAGGAAAGGAGCCAGCTGAGGTGGTTCGGGCATCTGACAAGGATGCCCCCTGGGTGAGGTGTTCCGGGCATGTCCCACCGGGAGGAGGCCCCCGGGGCAGACCCAGGACACGCTGGAGAGATTGTATCTTTTTTATTATTATTAATCCTTTATTTATCCAGGTAAAAAATCTCATTGAGATTAAAAATCTCATTTCCAAGAGAGACCTTCATCTCTCGGCTGAAATGGGAACGCCTTGGTGTTCCCCCGGATAAGCTGGAGGAGGTGGCTAGGGAGAGGGAGGTCTGGGCTTCTCTGCTTAGGCTGCTGCCCCCGCGAACCGGCCCCGGATAAAGCAGAAGAAGATGGATGGATGGAAGTATTTGTGAAGCTGTGACTCAACATGTCAATTTTTTTCCAATTTCAAAGAATCCTTCCAAAAGTTGCTGAATCCAACACTTTAGTCACTTCTAAGCTGGAATGATCCCCACTTCACATAAAACCATCATGCAGATCCATCATTTCCTTTGGAGTATTCCTGCTAAAGAAACAAACTGAAAAAAGTCACACAAGCTACTTGGTGGAAGTCATCTCTTTTTAAATAAAATAAACAGAAATTATATATTAAAAAAATACATCCACAAAAATAAAGCAAATCGTCAAAAAAAAAAAAAACATTAATCAAATACAAATTAAAGTTTTGGCTTGAAATTAAAAACAGTGTTTCCTAAGCTTTAAAGACCTACAAACATTCCAATCTGCTGCATGAAAAGAAGTGAGGTGAAAAGCATTTAAAAGTTAACCTCGAGTAAACTTGTAGCATTGTTATTCAATCCAGAGTAGGAACCAACTTCCTCTCATCACAGGATGATGGTGGGGTTTAGACATTTTTGTCTTTCAGTGTCTTTCAGACTTCATAACGTTACTGTACAGCAGTGTTGGGCAGCTCTAAAATCTCAGACGCTATCCCGTCTGGGCTTGTGGCACCCTCCGCTTCCTGGTTGTGCTGAAGGATATCTTGCAGCAGGATGGTGTTGGAGAGTCTCCACTCCCTGTACATGAGCGCTGTGAGATTTGGTTCATTCAGGATCTTCTCCAAAGCCAGCAGCTCGGACTCTTTAGCCTGAAAAACACGAGTGTTAGAAACATGCAGTGATCCTCCATCAGGCATCAGCTCATGAAGGAATCCAAACAGGGTGTAGATTACTCTAATGTTTAGTGTAGGGTGTCCCCAAAAGCGGGTCAGTTCCCATTAACTCCCTTGTTAAAATGTCCAGTTTTACAGAAGAAAAGACCTGCTACAAGAAAACAGCTCAGGTCGGGAGCGATAGTTTGGAGATATTATTGTTAATAAAGTCAGAGGCAGTCACAGAAATAGTCTCCTTAAATAAAAATCTAGGGATTTATTAGATAGTCAGTCTGCATGTCAACATCGATTGACCCTGTATTATGCAGGACAGCTAGCATTAGCTGATAGCTTAGCAATTCAACATTGCAGTTGGCCATTGATCAAAGACCACTGATCAATGGCCACGAGTACCATTAATTATTGATCACCAACCAAACTAAGTTAACAATAAAGGATCTTGAACACCCTCTGCACCACTTACCACACATGTAGCCGAACACTAACATCTGTTACAGCTCTGCTGCTTCAAGGACAGGTGCAGACAATCCTTACCACCATGATACCTGGATTCATTTTCAAGAATAGCTCCTTACTGTATCATATTCGTATGTGTATATGTGTATTTCTATGTAATTGACTGGTGTTACACAGTAATTTTTTCCAAATTTTGGGATAAATAAAGAATTTATTGTTTGATATTATCTAAGTATGTGGTTTAGCTTCTTATATTAAACTGGCTGTAAACATGATAATTTCGACTGTAAAATTGGACACTTTAACACGTCTTTTGGGATTGACTCACTTTTGGAGCCAGGCTGAAGCAGCCATTAGAGGAATCAACACGCTGTTTGGATTCCTCCATCAGCTGATGAAAGATGGCCCTTTGACATTTCAGCCCCAGGGTCTGCTGCTTGATAACAGCACGTGTAACTGAGTACCTAACCCTTTCATTTTTTTTTGGCATTTAATTAAAGACAAAAGTTCAGACTCACCTTTAATGTGCTTTTGAGTATCCGGACCAGGTGAACCTTTTCGTTGACTTTTTCATTCTTACATCGCCGGATAAATGAGGCCCTGAAGTCCCTCTGAAATGTCTGTCCAGTTGGATTGACGCTGGCTGCTTTCAGATGGTTGTAGAGGCTCTCCATCTCATCTGGCGTTTTTTCTGGAAACAGGAAAAAAATCAGTAAGGTTAAGTAGCAGGAGACGACATGATAACCACGTGTAGCTGCAGGTGTTTACCCTGGACTGTGTCCTCCTCTTTTTCCTCTCTAACATGAATTAGAGGAGGAGTCTGTGTTCCGCTGGTTTCATCCTGCTTGGGGAGGTCCAGCCAGGACAGACGACCACTGCCCTCAGAAACTGGTCTTTGTCTTCGGTTTTTGCTCATAGAGCTTCCAGCCGAGCTGGTTCTACTTCTGCTTTCAGTGATTATTGATGAGACGGTGGGGAGTGAGGTGCAGGATAAAGACTCCCAGGGTGGCTGAAGACGGTTTCCCTGTGAAAAGGGCAGAAAGTGTTTCAGAATATGTGTTTTCAGTCATTTTAAATTTAAGATTAACCCTTGATTAACCCCTATCCCAGTGAGAGATACAACCTGGACAAGTTGTCAGTCTGTCACAGGACTAACACAGAGGGGAAAAAACAGTTCACACTCACAGGCATGCTAGAACAACCAATCAACCTGACCCCATACACGTCTTTGGAATATGGTAGGAAACTGGAAAAAACCCACTTAGGAATCAGGAGAACATACCTATCAAATGTTTAAACTGAGCAAGTGTACCATTTTAAATAAAAATATGATATCTCTTTTTATCTCTTTTTGAATCTTCTTTTCAAATGTTCTGGCAGGAAAACATGTCAAAATAGTCTCACAGAGGACTCTAGCTGCTCAGCAACTCTGAATCTTCCCTGTTGTATTTTTGGTTTCATGATGCTCATGAGTTTCATTGACCTACTAATGATCATGTGCCAAGGTATGAAAAAGGATGTGGGTCTTTATCAGGACATGTGTGCGCCATGACCTCCCCAGTGTTACCCATTCTAGCCAACCTTTGTATGGAGGAAGTGGAAGTGGCTAGGTGGAACAGGAAAGGAACATCACCTAGCCTCTGGTACAGATACGTGGATGACACCAATTGTTCACGTGAATCATTGTTCAGGTCAACTCAGTGATATAACAAAGGATAATAATAATTTGCTGTTTCTGGACTGTACTGTGCACATTGAGGAGAATGGAAACCTCAACATTGAAGTTTACCGGAGGCCCATGCACACAGACCATTAAATAATCCTATGCTGACACTACCATCTGGAAGAAACTTAGAGTAATCAGGACCCTCCAACAGCGGGCAGAAACTGTTCCCTCTAAGGCATCAGGGAAACAAAAGGAGCACACAAATGTAAAGGTTATGCCAGCTTTCATTAAATCAGCAAAGATGTACAGTAAAGACTTAAAAAAACTCAAAGAAGTCACTTTTCTTGCCAAGATCCTGAGATTATCTGAAATCAGTGTGCTGGAATAATTAAGTGAAGTTCGAGCTGGGATTCTGTGAGGGTTGGAGGAATTATTAAAGGAAGAGAATTACAATGAATGCAAGGTTGGTGAAGAAGGACTTGTTTTGGTTCTTAGAGAGGTAGAGCCAATCATGTATCATTCACTGCTGCCACTGTTAACTTTGAGTTAATTGGGCTGCTCCAACTTTGTGAATAGGAAATCCAAATTGAGGGAGAATTCCAGATGAAGATCTGAATCTGGAACAAGGCCTAGGAGCTGGGTACTCAGCTTTTAGTGCCCCAATACACCCACCAGCACAGGTTGCTTCAAATACTGATGGTGCTATAGCCACAGCTACGTACCATTTAAACCAGCATTTACAGCGTGCGTACCCACCACAGTATCTTTCTGAACAATAGGTTTTCCCATTCAGTCAAAAGTTTCACATCAGCGCTGTTACAGGAAGTCAAAACTGAACGCAAACTAATCACAGAGTTTGAGGTTTTTTGTTTTCAGAAAGGGTTGGGGTTAGAAAACCGACACAGTCTTACACAAAATTGAGAAATGCACCACTGGCTGAAACAACACCAAAACAACAGCTTGTGCCGGCGGACGTGACATCACAGGTTATAGCTTCTTTGGCCTCATCATGCACAGAGTGCAGCTTGTATTAATGTTATTGATCAGTGTACATAAAGATGGGCATCGTGATGACACCCCAAACTAATGCCAAGGTATTTCAGAAACTGGTGTTACCAACTATGGTTTCAAATCGATCAATCAAAATCAATACAACAGCCTGAACAAACTTTGCCAGAGTTTTCCTCAGTGGTCATTTGTGGTACTGCAGCTAAAAATGCTGCAGCCCAAAGACCATTTGTTCCCAAATGTATTACCCCATCTACAGTATGGCTAGTGCCTATTTTACTTTTACATTAAGCTCTTTTCTATGGACTTCATGCATTTACTTACATTTTGGGTGGCCACTGAATCCAGCTGAGAGTCAAGAGAAGAAAACGACAAGTCTTCTTCATCCTGATCACTCCCCTCACTGTAGCGCTCTGCACACACATGCATAAATAGAGACAATGTAAAGAAAGCAGCAAAGCAGAAAATAAATAGATGATGTGTGAAGGAAACTAGAGGACCAACAGATCAGTGAAAGAGATAACATGAGACAAGAAATGGGAAGACACATGAAGATGTGATGAAAATCAGAGTGAAAGAATGATAGAAAAAACAAAAAAGAAGGAAAAACTGAGAAAGGGTAAATGGGAAAAAAGGAATGAAAACTGGAAAGGAAGATGTAGCAATGGGAAAGGGAGAGGAAGTGTGTCAAGGAAAAAATATATGAAAAAGGGAAAAATACCACCTTCCTTTAAAGGCACAGGAATGAGCAAAGAAATTTTAGAAAACCAAATTTGTGAAGATGGAAAGGAAAGCTGGGATAATCAAAGAAAAGAAGAGGGTGCAGTGTGTGAAATGTTAGTTGTAAGAGAGATACATTAGTGGGAAGTAACTGTGGTCAGAAAGTTTACAGACACTCATCGTGAGTATGTCATGGTATTTTTTGGCATTAATGATTTCTCTACACAGTTCTTCATCCACAGTGGAAGGATTGCACAGCACACATCTCTAATGACTCTGAAAAAACAGGACTTTTGAGCTTTTGAGTGTATCCACATATTTTCATTAGGGCTGAGGTCAGGGCTTCGGGAAGGCCATTCTAAAAGCTTAATGTTAATTTGATTTAATCAGTTTTAATGTTTTTGGGATCATTGTCCCACAGGAGAACCCAAATGTGTCAGTTTCAACAAGTTTCAAATGTAGAGTTGAGGCAATGTTGAAGAATTTGCAGGTAGTCCTTCTTCTTTACTTTTTGTGGTTGACAGGGGTCAGCATGGGCACCCTGACTGGTCTGTAACTATGCAGACCATGCGTGTTCTGACACCTTTCTATCAGAACCAGCATAAACTTTTTCAGGAATTTAAGCTACAACGTCTTGTTTGCTGGATTGGCCACACAGGCCAGCCTTTGCTGCCTACGTGCATCAGTTAGCCTTGGCCCCCCGTGACCCTGTCACTGGTCCACCACCGTTCCCTCCTTGGAACCCTTTTGACAGATACTGACCCCTGCAGACTAGAAGCACCACACAAGTGCTGCAGGTTTGTAGATGCTCTGTCCCAGACGTCTGGCTATGACAGTTTGGCCCGTGTTGTTCAAATCTTTATGTTTGCCAGTTTCTGAGAACAAAATGTTCACCCTAATGTGCCTCACCCACTAACAGTTGCCACCATGATGATCAGTGTTATTCATGTCGCCTGTCAGTGGTCATAATGTTACGTTTGATTTAAAGAGTTCAAAGAAATTATTAAAAGCCAGAGTTACCCTGACAGTCATGCTCATGAGTGTGCGAAACTTCAGACTGCAGCTGTGTCACCATCATCATTTTGGTAGATTCTTATTTTTAATCCTCTCACCTTCACTGTTGATTGCCTCATCTAGTTCAGCTGCTTCTGTCAGTTTACTGATCCACCTGGACACACACACACACACACACACACACACACACACACACTGCATTAAACTCTACAAATGACACATAACATGCAACATACTACACGGTGTACTGCAATGAATCAATAAAAAGAAAGATGACATTAAAAGGATGGGAAGAGGAAATGACTGTACTTTCTGACACAGAATAGTGATACTTATTAGTTCAGAGCAAAGTTTCTCAGCCACCACTGGCTGAAGTGCAAATGTCACTAATTCTAGGCTTCACTCTTTTCTATAAGACTAAGCCACTAAAGTCAGGAGTGGGCATTCTGAGACAAACATGTCTGCAAAATCTCAACAGTTTCTGCCTTATGTGGATCAGTTTGAAAAGTTATGATGACATTTTTCTGCTGGTATAAACCCTCGAAGTGGGCCTAAGATGCTGATTTCCAGCATCACATGCATTACCAGACTGAACTGACCCCCTTTAAGCCAACCTCTGATTGGCTGCTCCATGTGTAAGGTTTAAACAGTAGATGGGAGGGGCATCTCTATCCAAATCTCTATAACATCATTCAGCACCAAGTGTATAAAAACTGTCAAAAGTCATATTTTATAGAAGAATTCATTCCTGTAAGTGTATGCAGTCAATGACAGGAAATAAAGAGAAGCAGTATCAGTCAACTCAATGACATATGATAAAATAATAACAATGGGTTAAAAGTACTCACTTATTCATTTCTATGTAGCTCTCAGCACCAATAGTAATAGTCACTACATTAGGATGACTGGCTGTTATGACACTGAAACACAACACAGAGCAAAGTAATGGTAAATTCAATGCACTATATAAAGCAGTTGGTGAAGATGTGGAAAACAAATGCCTTGCAGCGGATCTCTCACCACTGAGACATTTTTTTAAGATGCTTTAGCAACAGAGAGTGTACAAACAGCAAAAAGTCTTGTGGTTTAAGAGGGGAAAATTAAAAAAAACAAAACATGTCATACTATTTCTTCCTGGAGGTTTTGGCCTGTTCGATGGTAAAGCCTGACAGGTTGATGAATCCATCAGCTTTCTCAGCCTGCAGAGAGGAGCAAAATGAGCTCAGAAAACCTGATGAGAAACACTTTAATGCAGTGAAGTCTGCAGAAAACAATGTGTCTGTATCTCAGGTTCCTGTGTGATCTCAGCAAAGTGTCAGTGGTCAGAGCCAGAGGATGCACATCGCGGTGGACTGTGCTCTTTCTGTCTGTTTGGTTGCAGTTTGACCTACTTTGTGTCTTAGTGTGGTTTGACTATATGCTTATTTAAATTTACAGCTTCACAGAGATAAAGGGATTTACATATGATTCTTAACATATAAGAGATGTTTCTCTTTAAACACATTTATATGGAATATTAATGTATTTGTATCAAAGTAGAAACTTAAAAAATTTCAAAACCACGTAATTTAGTTATTTATTTTTCTAAAAGATGTCATGTGTGTCACACACAGGCAGCACTTCTTCTAAGGCTCACTTCAACAGTGAGTCAGGCCCCACAGACTCCCATGTTAAAACCTGCTTCAACAACAGTTTGGACTTCAACTGCAAAGGTTATTTTCATGTATAACTCACCCACTTAAAATCTATTTAGAGCTCCCCTCCACTTTAAACTAGATATCTTGGGCATGTTCGTGGCTTTTGGAGCAACTTTCATGCAATTGTCTGACACATCATATCCGAAAGTTTCACTGTGTGTACAGGTAAACATCGTGAGCTTCAGCACTCAGATATTTAGGTCTACTTTTTATCTCTGCGTGATGTCACAGAGTTAGGTACCCATAATATGGTCAACTCAGACACCAAAAGCCCCACCCAACTTCTATTTAAACTTTTAAGAGGGGCAACCAATCAGAATCAAGCTAGCTTCAAGGTAGGGTGGGCAGCTCAAATAAGGATAGATCCTCAAATGAGGAGTATAAGATAATGAAGGATTATTTTGAACTATGAATCATGCAAAGCCACTCTAATAGAGTCCAAGATTAAGAATACAGTGCTCATTCAAGTTTTCGCAAAGTCTCCGCAAACCGGGAACAGATTTTCTGATGCTAATCGCACATGTCAGACCTGAATTCTACTGCACGTTGTTTGAGCTGTAGGGCTTAACTGTGAGATAACTGTGGCTCACCATCTCGTTACTGTACCAGTACAGAGAGCTCCTCTGCAGGACAAACCAGTATCTCTTCCATCTGCTTCCCAGGAAGCTACGGCTCTCCTTCTTCCGGTGCAGCCATCCCTGACAGTCCACCGCTCCCAGGTCTTTGACCGAAACCCGACGCCGACTCATGGCTGCAGACTCTGCAGGAGAAGGAGGAAGGCAGGTTACAGGTTCAGATCTTCAGATCAGAGGGAGGAGCCATCCAACAATGATGCTCCTTAGGGGCCTCACATGTACTCAGACAACTGGACAACTATTTTTACTAATTTCAGACCTGCTTGCTTTATTGGATTTATTGAGTTATTTCTTCAGCTATAAGACCTGAGACACTTTAATGTACAATATTTAACTTATTCACCTGTATTTATTTTACCTCTATTGTTTTAAAATGTTGACTTTTATTTTATTGTATATCCATTTTTATTTATTCAGCTCCTTATTAAATTATACATTTATCTTTTTAGACAGATTTTCATTGTCTGTTCTTCTTGCAGTTTATCTTCCTGTATTTCCATTTTTAATTTACTTTTAACATTATTTTATTGATTGAAACTTATTTTAGTTTTACTTAACAAGCAGTTAAGTAAATTTGTACATTTGTGTCACATTTGTCAAATGCCCCTCGCTGCCTGCAGCTGTGAGCAGCAGGCTGAAACCCACAGAGCCTCGGTGTAGTGGTCATCCTATGTTCAGCCACTTTTGGTTTCCTGATTTGGTATTTATGAGTTTTCAAACAGACTCCTGATCTTCTCTGTAGACCTCAGTGTGTCCTAAAAATACAAAGGCCTGGGTAGTGCAAATGTTTTTAAATCATGCTGTCCTAATTCCACTGTTTACCGGTTTATCTGCACACTCTGATGTTCGGTTTTGGCACTAATTTTAGAATAAACAACATCATTGAGCTGCTTTCTGTCTCTTTTGATCAACTCATACAGATGAGACTGTTTCATTCTTTCTTTGTTGAGTCTGCCGTTTCATTTTCTATAAAAACAAGTTTCAGGAAGTCTTGACAGATAATTTGTGGTATTCTAATAACAATAGAGAACAAGCAAGGCACTCTGTCATAAGATAAAACTTTTTTTACTTTTATTAGGATCAGTGATGACTTAGAATTGATGCATGTTGATAGTTTTCTGCCAAACTGCTTGAAGAATCATCTCAAAACATAGTTTTACCTGTAGACACAATGCTTGAGCTGTTATGCTTGCAAGGTTTGGGTTTTGTTGTTGGACTTCTACCCACCCCACTGAAGAGCATCTGTCACAAAAGCCATGAGAGCAACGTTTTCTTCCTTTTTTGTTTTTGTAAACTTTCATTTTTTTATTTGTTGGTTTCAAAACAAACTAGAAAAAAAGTCGACCTGTGCAATGCGATCAGAGGTGCCACCATGATAACCTTCAGTATATCTGAAATTTGGACCATCTCAAAGGTGCAGAGTGCCATTGTGGACCCTTACCATCCTTGGGGTTTGCTTGTTTAACCCGCTCAAAGGTGGCACTAATAGAGTCATTTTTCTGTGTTTGTCTGACCCTTTTTGTATATTTATACTGACAGAGTGGGGTATTTAGTGTGTTTCATGTGCTGCATTATCTGCATGGCAAGTTTCCCAACTGGGACATTTTACTCTGTAACATCTGTGATATAATCTTAACTCTCATATTACTAACATTAATGCTCTGCAATTCTATCAGCACAGAAAGTTAACACCCAAAGTCAACCTACCAAAGAAATGCACGACTCATACGCTTATGTGGTTACAATAGAGAACAAAAAAAACATATGAACCAAACAAAAATAGGAACTAATGCTGCTCTCTTCTCACTCAAAGTGAAGTTTGGCCCCTGTTGCCCCAGTGGGCAAAGGTTTTCAATTTTGTCTATGTTTTGAATAAATTCTCTCTCTTTTCTATCCAAAATTTATGTCACTACCAGGTGTAAGTCTTCATCAGTATTATCCCTAACCCTGGGATAAGCTCGGACATCGCCCGGTTCAACAAGGTCTGCGTCAGGTGTTGAGGAACCAGGGCACCCTGACGAGAAGTGGGCTACTGGAACAAGAAGGCATCAGTGGGCAAGAGACGAAAACAGAGCGTTGTTGGAATGCTACTATGCAAGTAACCCTGGCGGAAGGGGCTACATGAATAGGATGACGGACCTATGGATTCTTCGATACCCAACATCGAAACAACGAAACAACTAGTAGCTCAGTGTTCCAACATTCTCACAGCTAGAGATTGACAAGGTACAACATAAATGCTACGGCAAGGGGGAGCCAGGACGCCAGGTCAGGGGGGAGATGTCATCACCCCCACCCGAGATTGGGTACAAAGCCCCAAGTGCGATAGGAGAAGGATCGTTGAGTGCGAGAGGAACTGGCCAAGCTTGAGACCTGGATCCCCCGTAGCCAGTTACCAAGATTAAGTGAAGTACCCTCAGAAGGTCTGCTAGATGATGTTAATGGATACTGGAATGCCTAGAATTGTACAAGATCAATGGGACCCTAAGAGCCTTCATCAGGAACTCAATGGGTATGTGGTGTACAACACTAGAGGCCAACTCCAAGCCCATAGCATAAGTCACCATCAAGTGTGGGATCTACCAAGGAGATGCTCTGTCCCCACTGCTGTTCTGCATAGGCCTGAACCAGTGAGATACCGACTACGGAATGGAGCAGTTGTCAGCCACCTCCTGTACATGGATGACATCAAGCTGTATGCGAATCTATGCGAGTGAACGAGACATCGATTCACTGATCCACACTACCAGGATATACAGCAATGACATTCGGGCTGGAGAAGTGTAGTCGGATGATAAGAAAGAGAGGGAAGTCAGAACTGAGGGGATCGAGCTACCAGAAGGCAACATTGCAGACATAGATCCCGCAGGCGAATGGGAACCATGAAGAGCCTGCTAGGAAAGCTGCAACCACCAAGTACCTGCAGAGGGTCAGGCAAGTCCTGAGGAGTCAGCTGAACAGTAAGAACAAGATCCAGGCTATCAACACCTATGCCCTGCCCGTGATCAGGTACCCAGCTGGTATAATAAGTTGGCCAAACACAGTGAGATGACTTTAGTCTCATGAACAACATTAGCTAATTGTTATTTACTAAGTAATCTTGAAATGACTGTTCAGTACAGGAATGAAGCCCAACAATCATGTTTTATAGTCCTGTGGTTTCAGCCTCAGATACTCAACTAATCAAAGTGATGTCATGACAAAAATGAATGACCAACAAAACATTTTTTCTCCTTCATTTCTGTCAAACAAAGCTGTATGTAACGTTTCTCGCGGTTAGTATCATGGTTGCTTCACTTCCGCACTGCTCCTACTTACAGTACGCACCGTACATAGTATGCGTAGTGTGCGTACTTCAAGCATGCAGACCCTGAATTGGGACACAGCCACAGCCAGGCTACAGAGGAAGTGACAGGTAGGTGAGACAGGTAAGAGAGGAGAGCTATGCTGGAGTAATAAAGGCATGAAGACCATGAACGTGAGCATTAAATAGTTTTTTTTCTTGAATAGGGTAACCATATATTCAATGTAAAATGAAAAACAAACAAACAAACAAAAACAACAAGTCCCAGGTAATCCACCCACACTAATCCCAAACCTTGATTCCAGAAAGATATGCATGACGGGTATTTACACACCAGTTTTACCAGCATTAAAAGCTCACTTCAAGTAAACCTACTAAAGGAATACATGACTCATGAACTTATGTGGTTATAAAAGAGAACAGATGAGTATATGTACCAAACAAAAATAGGAACAAAAATAGGAACTTAAGTTAAGCTGCTCTTTTACCACAACTTAACTCAACAGTCAAGTAACGCATCTAAACACAATGTTAAGCCTGACCCAAGAAAGCCATTCTACCTAATTTAGCATTTAGCAACGACAAGGAAAGGTGGTTTCAACAATGGCCCAAACACTAACATGGTGTGAATATCCGGGATGATCCCCCATTCATCTTAAATGTGCGCACGGTATGTGGCAAGAAGCTTTGCTTAAGTACAAAATTAGGTATTTACCCAAAACTAGCAAAACACAAACAGCAAAGAAGACTGCTGCCAGACAGGATGGAAGAGAGACCTGCAGCAGCTGACAACATTCTCATGTCAGCTGTCTGATGTCAGATACACTCACACAAACAGAAAGGAAGAGGAAATGAAGTTATGTATTCATTTATATCACAGTGTGGAAGTTGGTTTAATGAATATTAACACATTCACACAAATAGGATAGGGCAGGGAGGGGCATCACAGTTCTGCACTGTTCTGTATAAGTTATTGGGGAAACTTCAGGTTTAACCTTTCACTTCTAACGGGGGTGGTAATTTATGCGTCATAGTAGTATGCAGAAGTCTCCATGTACTGTCCAGTCACTTCTGTGTAAATTATGTAAATTCAGTTGTTAGTGTGCAGGTATAGGAGAGTCTGTAGGTTTTAGAGACAGTCTGATGTCTTTGAAGTCTTTGCCTTTCCTTAATTAGCAAGCATAATTTACAGGAAACACTGATTTTCTGTGTGTGTGTGTGTGTGTGTGTGTTTCCTGTAAGATTTGTGTTAAGCATGCCTTAAATCATGGTTGCTACAGCAAGACATTTTATAATTGCTGACCTTGCAAGTAGCCTAAGCGGACTTCCTGGTCCGAGTTCTGTTTTGATACTTAAACTTCACTTGTCCTCAGCCTTTACACTGCGTTTCATCTCTGTGAAGATAAGGCAAAGATATCCTGGACATGCTGATCATGAATATGTTGATACCAAAGTTGAGTATACAACATCTCTGTGGGTGTCATGTTCCACTGTTTAGTAGGTGGTATACATGTGTGCTATACGCTCAGGCTGCTGGGGGACTTCCCATGATGCACTGTGCACTTCTTTTCCACTCCACATGCATTTATAGCTGAACATGTATTAATATTTACATTGAATTATTTATCCTGTTTTTTGGTCTTTTTTCCTCATCGCTTTGCAACCAGTCACAGCATGGCCGCCCATTCCTGAGCCTGATTCTGTTGGAGGTCTCTTCTTCCCCACCATCACCAAGTGCTTACCTTACTTTACCTTACAATATAAAACAGTTTCATGGGATGCTGTATAAATGCAACTGCACTGAATCACAAGTTTCTGGTAGGAAAATGTATGAACGCATACCTGTAAAGAGCACGTGGTGTAATTGTGAGGTCCAAAACAGCTAAAAATAATATATGATATAATGAAATTTGATTTCTTTGTCTGTTTTTTAACACTTTACCTTGCACTTTAGAGGTTTACAGTATTAGAGATATTGCATGATGCTGCATATTTAATCTGTTAGCGGTTCCTTTTTTTGTTTTTTCTGTGTACTCTAAAACCAGTTTACCTCGGTCACCAAAAAACAAAACAAAAAACCCTCTACAGACTCACCGCTAATTGTATGAGACTGGGCAGATGTTTGTGGTCTCATTAGTCTTAACTTTACATGTCTCTCTCTAGCTAAGGTTTCTGTACACGCGCCAAATGAAACAGAGGGGGGACTGAAGCAAGAAACTTTGCCGAAACAAGCGCCCTTACCTGCAGTCTGGGTGTCCGGCAGTGTAATGCGTTTCCTGCAGACAGACGCGCAGCACAGGAGGAACTGAAGTGTGCTCCGCTTGTGAGAAGTTATGTTAACACATCAGCAGACCACAAAGTCACAAAATCACACTCACGCTCTACATAAACGCACCACTCAGACTCCACAGCGTCCTTCCTGTTTCGGTGCTCTTCGTGATCTTTATGCCCTCGTCTGTTTCTCAGAAACTTCCCTTTTGCTCTGTAGAAAATAAAACTTATTTTCAGGAAATTAAGCAAATTTATGCAGTGCTGTTTAGTTACAGTGGAGACATCAGTCTTCAGTATCTCACACCATTTCCCTCTTACAGTCAAATCAAAGAGACACATGTCATTGACATTCAGCCTTCTTGTAGAAGAAAATAAAACTTCAAGGCCGCCTTATTGCCAACTATAGTGGGGTGAAATGTGTTCATGCACCAGTCTGCATATTTTAGCTCTAAACATTTGTTTGCTACAAATTTCCTGAGCATCCACTCAAATATTACAGAAGAAAATGTGGACTATTCTAAAGATACACCTGAGTCTGTCTATTACACAGCTGCAGAGCTGAATGAGAGTTCAATAGTAGGCATAAGTTCAAACTGCAGTTCACCACAGGGTCCACGTGATGGAGCTGTTAGTCTTTGACAGCTTCATATGTGCCCTTTAAGATTATTACCTGAGGGACTAGCTCATTTAGAACCAGATAATGAACAGCTTACACTTTGCTTCATTGACACTGATCTTGTAACACAGCAAAGCCCGATTCAAACAACAGAATTCACTAATTATTTATAAAAAATAAAATAAAAAACACCAGAAAAGCTAAAGTTTGATTTAGCATTTAAACAGATTAAAGTGGACCTGTTATTGCCTTTTCTTGTTTTCTGTCATATATCTACTCTTAAAATGGTGGATGTTCATATTAAAATCGGACAAAATAAATAAATCAGTGAATGTGCAAGTTTTCTGTGAGCTCAGATGGGTGTCAGACAGTTTTTTTCTTGAGTCAGTGGGAGGAGATATTCCTAACATGGTCATCTCAGTTTTTCTTATGAAGGTTTATCTGCAGCTATAACACAACTCCAAAAAGCTACAACATTGTGTTAAATGTAAATAAAAAACAAAATGCAATGATTTTTCAAATCTCATGAGCCAATATTTTGTTCCCAGTGGAACATAAAAATCTATCAAATATTTAAATAATATCCTGTTAGCCCTGTGAGAGACTGGCAACTGTCCAGAGTATGCCCCGCCTCTTGCTCACTGGTAGCTGGAATAGGCTCCAGCCTCCCCCGGAGCCTGACAAATACATTATCATATTCCATGAAAAATACGAGCTGCAAAAAAGATGCATCTTTAATTTCAGAATAAGGTTCCTCAATGAAAAACTGACCTTCTCATAATCTACACTACATGATATCATGAAAAGATTCAGAGAATCTGGAGAAATTTCCGTGTGCAAAGAACAAGGATGAAAGTAACTATTGGATGCCAGTGACCTTCATGCCCTCAGGCATCACTGCATTAAAAAAATACAAATCTGTCATGGAAATTGGTGCATGGGCTCAGGAACGCCTGCAGAAATGCAGGTTAACCCTGTAACAGCAGGGGTATCATAACTGATACATGAGGCTTTGGGAGTTTATGAAACTTCTATATCATCAATATTACACAGAATCTAGGACAGGATATAAACAGCATGGGTTAAATGGTTTTGGCATTTGTTAGTATTTAAATTATCTGCAGTCACCAAATCAAAATGCTTCTTCTAAAATATATATTCAAATGTTTTATCTCATATGACTGTCAGGTACTAATAGAATATCAGTGCTCCTCACATTTTTGAGAACCAAGGACCCTACTGACCCTCTGCACTCAAATTCATTTTTTTATGTTTTTGTAGCTTAATACTTATCATTATAATCCAGCTGCTAATTTAACATAAAAAAATATATAAATTATAAGCTTTGCTATAACTTCCAAAAAATAAAAATATTGAACGCAAAGTTTCAAAATAAATTGCACTTTATTTTTCCAAAGCATTACAGAGGCAACAAAACACAGAGCTCTGAAGAGGGACCGTTTGTGCTTAATCAGACAGAGCAAAATCAGATTATGATGCATGAAGTTTGACAAAAGGACAACTTTACAAACCAGCTTCACTTTAGATCATCAAGAAACAAGTGAACTTCAACACTTCAACTTTGCTAAACAGCTGTTGCCAAAAGTGGCCATTAGAGGAAAATAAATAAACGTATACCCCTTATTCACTTCAGCTGATTTAAAAGGGATCAGTTCCGCCCATTTCCACTTCCAGGTTTTCATTTTTCACCACTGGGCCTTCCTGCACCCCATCCTCCCTCTGAAACAAGGCATTTTAACTCCTCCGTCTTTATGGCTACTATACATTTAGATCAATTCTGCAACACCCCACTTCAAACACAGCATTACAGTTGGCACCTCACATGCTCTACAACTTATTTATAGATTTACAGAACTAAGCATGAAAAAAAATCCTATTAATTTTTCTGCAAAAATAAAGGATGGTGTCAAACTTCTATTTTCTCTACAAAACTCATTTACCTCACTCAACTACGCCCTACATTTTTTACTTATGTCATGGACTCTGGGTTTTGTGCCTGAGCTTTCACTTTGTATTGATATTTTTTATAGTTTTGGTTCATTTCTAGTCAAGTTTGGATTCTGATGTTATGGTGTTGGTTGAGTTTTGTAATCTTTGTAATCTTTATGTATCAGATTTTTTCTGGATTTCTGGGTTCTTAGCTTTTGTTATGTGTTTGTGATTTGATTTGGAGTTTATATTTAATTCACCGAGTTTCAGTTTATGGTGGCGGGTGTGGTTCTGAGCCTAACATGACCATGTTCGTGTTATCACCTCTCAGTATACATAATATAAACATCCACAATTGGAACAGAAGACTTGGAAGAAAAGGAAAAGAGAAACGGGTCCTCTTTAATCGTGGCTCAAGAGTTGGGCGTTCGCCTTGTAATCGAAAGGTTGCCGGTTCGAGCCCCGGCTTGGACAGTCTCGGTCGTTGTGTCCTTGGGCAAGACACTTCACCCGTTGCCTACTGGTGGTGGTCAGAGGGCCCGGTGGCGCCAGTGTCCGGCAGCCTTGCCTCTGTCAGTGCGCCCCAGGGCATCTGTGGCTACAATGTAGCTTGCCATCACCTGTGTGTGAATGTGTGGATGACTGGATGTGTAAAGCGCTTTGGGGTCCTTAGGGACTAAGTAAAGCGCTATATAAATACAGGCCATTTACCAAAAAAAGTAAAGCTGTAACACAAACTCCCTCCAAAAGCATTCACAATGAAGCAACTTTGTTTTCTATTGTGTGTTCATTTAAACTTTTTTTTTTTTAAAGTAAAGAGATTTATGTTCACTTTTAAAATTACACATTATAGATTTTCTCACAAACACATTTAAAAATTTTCTATACACGCTGAGAATCTTTTATAATGCTTGCATAAGGTTTCGTTTGTATAAAAGCAAATAATGTGAATTAGAAAAACCCTTTAGAAAAGTTAAGACTTAACAAAAAACAAACAAAACCAACAACATTTAAGTCCACAGTTCTTGAATATCAGTGGATCCAGAAAGGTTCCCTGAGGGACGCCCTCAGGAAATTTTTCATTATAGAAACCTTAAACCTGCAAAGAATTTCTTAAGAGAATATACATTTTCTTGAGTCGATTAATAAAAAGAAAAACAAATACTTGAGATGAGACAGTGATCATTTTGTTCTTCTTTTTTTTTTTTTTTTAAGTATACCTAAAATTTCTGGCAGCTCCCTGCAGACAAATCTGCCAAATGACAAAGATAATTAAACCTTATATTAGATACTTCAAATGTATTTAAATCCATTAAATCTGTTATCAAAGTTCATTCTAAATCTATTTTAGGGGTGTAAAATAGATTTGACTGAAACCACAATTAGCTACAGTGGCCTGATCACTCGATCATGACTGGATCATGAGATGAAATGAATTACACCAAATGTGCTATGCTTCCAGTTCATTTATTACCTCAATGTTTAAACATCACAGCTTCCACAGTACGACAAGTTGGAACCATAATGCAATACTGGGGATGCTTCTATCCAGATTTCAGTTTCGGATTCAGAATAATATATTTACCAAGTCTACTCTGTGTCAGGGTTCAAGTTTTTCTCTTTACTTTGTGTTTTTAGCACAAAGAATAAATCAAAGTGTTTACATTCTGAGCTATTACAAAAGGATGCAGCATATTTTCAGGTAGAGTAGCTTTTGAACTGCTTTCTGAAATCATAAAATCATAATCCTTGTACTAAAACACTGGTTAATCATTTCACTGTTTTTATTTGCCGTGTTCCCTCTGTTAAAAAGAAATGTGCATTTTTTTCTTCTTTGTAACACTTTCATGTCCCTGATAACGTTAGAAATGTATACAAATCTTAAGTTCTTTGAGAAAAGAACAAAAGATAAAAACATTTTTAGAAACCATATTATGCATACAAACCAAAATATCTAAAGAGGCACTAATGGCTCCTTAACTACAAATGGTGTTTTTACTAGAAAAATACTTCAGCAATCATAAACGCTAAGGCTCTGATAATCCACTGATAAGTTTTGAAAATTTAAAAAAAACAAAAAAACAAAACAAGAAGTCTACTGAAAACAAAAACCAGCTTCATCTTCAGCAGATTCAGCATGCTATAATCTGTTATTTCAGATCAAAGCCCCAAAATAGAAGTTTTGCCTTAAATCCGGATGGTCAACACGTGAAACCTTTATTTTCAATGTTAAAAAAAAGAAGCAATGCTGAGAAATGTTTTAATTCAACACTAAACAGATCAAAAACCAGATCTATTTATTTCCATCATAATTTCATTCTTGGACTCTAGTAGTGTCCATTTCCATGACTGGCAGTTCAAAAGAATCCTTATTTATGTGATCCTGGGCCTTACTGCTGAATTCATTCATCCTCCTAAAACAAGCCTTTTAAGCTCCTCCCCCTTTAAAGTCTGCCTCTTTTCAAATTCAGTGGGTAGAATATGTAGAAGAACCACAAGTCAAAGCATCCAAATCAACCAACAAATTGGCCATTTTTAATTATGAGCAACCACTGTTTAAACAGTAAATATGACAGGAAATTAATAAAAGGTCCTCTTTAAATATAACAGTTAAGCTGTATTTAAAATCAGTATATTATATATGATATGAGCGGCTAAATTATCTTCTCCTAAAAGCTTGAAGAGGTTATTATTGTACACTGTGACAGAAAATAAAATCTTCCACATCAGAATCACAGCTTCAACTTTGACATAAAACTAACTGGAAGATGGAAACTGACTTCTGTTGGTCAACTCAGAGTAACATTTGAGCTATTTTCATTGTTAGCTGTTGCCACCCAAAGTATTACAATTTAAAAAAATCCAAAGAAAAAGAAGATTAAAATGAAAACAAAACAACACTTGTAGCCATATTGCCCAGTTTCTGTAGTAAGAGTCACCCTAGCAGCTTAGGAGCTTTTGCATAATGTTTCATTAGTAAAAAAGGCACCAAATATTCATGACCTAGAAATTGGGTAAAAAAAACTTGAAGAGCTCCGAGATGGTTCCCTGAGGAACGCCTTCAAAATATTTTTTTATATTTGAAGTTTCTGTCATGAAGCATTTTTTAAATAATCTTTAGAAAACCCTTTCCTCCTTACATGTGAAACATTCAATATGGGTAGGTGAGGAAGATCAGGTTATAAAATTAAAACTTTAAAGGGACAGTTCACCACAAATTCAAATCTCTATATTTGACCTCTCGCATGTATACCTCTGTATCCGTCTACAGACTGCTTTGGTTTGAGTTGTCCAAGTGAGCTTTTTTTGTGCTGTTAAAAGTGCCAAAAACTACAGCAGAGAAGTCTATTTCCAGAAATCCTGACATAGTTATTCCAAAAGCAGTTCTGAGAAATAACAATTTTCTCTTTACCAAACTACACCCTGTACCACAACTCTTTCTTCACCCTGCAATAAACAGGCTCCATCTACCTGTGATGAAGTTGAACAACAGAATCAAACATTAATTGAATCACCTTGGCTGAGCTGCATTTAGCTTGCTGCGCTCTTCGTTTAGCTGTCAGGTGTAAACAGTGGTAGGAAAACAGTTCAGTAACGAGGTTTGCAGAGGTCTTTTTAGAGTAACTGGGCCACAACACAGGTGACATTTAGGTCTGTAACATAGACCAGAAGGCAAAAATATATATATATATATATAGGTATCTGGATGAATTTACAGCACTACAGGCCAAAGGGAAAACATGGAAGCTGGAATGTTGCAGCAAACCAATCCTTCAAGCATCCATACATCTGCAGATAATTCTGCTAAATGATAGCAGCAAATTTTAAAACTAACTCTGAGATGTAACTTTCCTTTATGATTAAAAAATATATATATATATAAAAACTGTAACAGTTGCAGTGTTTTTTTCCCCCCGGTGGGGCTTGTTTTCAGCTTGGTGTTGTCAAAGGTTCCTTGACGACTTTAAAATCTTCAAATTTTCCATGACTGATAAATCAAACAGAAAATGAGCGATCAGTAGATTCCAGTATCAGGTTCATTAAGTGGAAAGCACTATGCCGGATTAGTTTTTTCCTTGCTGTGGTGCTAGATTTTGAGATGAATTCCTCACCATCTTAACATGTTCGGTTAACTCCAACAGTCCACGATCTGCTGTTTTTATCCAGAACTATAAAATGATGTACTGCATTGCCTTTTATCAGGACCGTGAAACTTAAATGGATATTTAAAAGCAGAATATTAAAAACCAGTTGAGAATAATTGTCTCATCTAATAAAATTCAAACTGAGCTTTTCCTCCTCAGTGACTGAGCAGTTTGAGTCGAGCCAGCCAGCCGCCGAGCAGCGACGTGGACTGTTTGTTTACACCCTTAGTGGGAGAGACAGCGGCAGAAGTGGAGGCAGAAGCCTTTTTGGACCCCACTTCCTGGTAAGGTATGGTGGCTGTGTTGTGCAGGTTGGCGTTAATGTAGCACTGGCTGCCCCTGATATGGTCGACGCCACGTACAGATGGGTGACCTCGGTACGGCAGAGGGAAACACGGCTCCTCCTCCGTGATAGTGCTAATGCCCTCATTACTCCGATACATGTGCAGGACGTCCTTACCTGTTAGAAGACAACAGGTTAATTATTCGGCTTGTTTCATTTTAGCTGTGAGACCTTTAAATGACGGCTTTCATGTTCCTAAATACGACAACCTTGTACCGAAGAAGAAAGGAGGTAGTCCTACATACTGGATTTACATGCGAGTGAAAAGACATAATAAGCAAGTCCTCCTCCCTAAACGAGCTTCTATCCTTCCATCCTCAGTAACAGTTGACTTGATAAGTTACAGGTCAAAGCAAGTAAGCAAGTCTTTTTAAAGAAACAGTTGAGATAAATCTGGACATAACTGACGTTTCATGTTTCAATTGTTCATTTAAAAGAAAAGTAATAATGCAAACAAAGCAAAAAAAAAAAAGAATATTTTTAGAAATAAATTCGACACTGAACTTCTAAGGATGACTCCACTTTAAACCTCACAGGTTCATGCAGCAGTGTGTAAACTTCGCTCTTTTGTCGGCCTCGTGTTTGCCGTCAGTGGAAAACAGTCCACTTCTTCATGTGTCTTTATTTAACCGTTCATTAACTGCCTGTTATCTTGGACAAACTGCCAACATGCACCGTGCTCGTCAAGGTGAAGTGCTCTAACGCTCAGACTGAGCAGAGTATGAAATGAGTCGCGCAGATGCAGTGGCAGCTTTCGGGGTTAATGATTAACCAGGTAAAAATTCAAAGCACGCAGCCCATCCCTGCTACAGTCTGTCCTTGCCTTTTAATGAGTTGGACAGATGGCTATTACTGATAACTGTCAGATTACTGGCGCTCACTGCGTCTGGTCCAGCTGGACAGGTGGGACTTACCTTTCCTTCCCTGAGTACTGGGCCTGGAGAGCCGGTCAGACACGCCTGAAAATGCCTCCACAGGCATGGAGATGGGTCTGGGTTTACCTGCGAAGAGTCCAGAAAGAGCAAAACATCAGCTCCATCTCAGAGACACTACTCCTCTACTTCCACCTCAGGCTGACACTTAGCCAGATATTAGAGCACAAACCAATATGGCCCATAAACAGCTAGCTGCAGTCAGTCTAACAGAAATGTTTTTGGGGTTTTTTCTTCTTGGGAGAATCAGGCTGTTTTCTAAATCAATGATTCATCTTTAAATCCCCAAAGAACCACTCCTGGCTTAAGGTGTCCTTGATTACTATGACCCAGTAAAGCTTCAAAATATAATACAATGCATTCAGGTTGCTTTGTGGTGACTCCAGAGACAAAGGTGGCACTATATCCCAGTGTTTCCAACCAAAACCAGAACAAAACGGCTCCAAACTCAGCAGGGAGGAATTACTGTTCATGAAATCAAGCCTTAAAGTCAACAGAAGCTTTCTGAGGATACACAGTCTTATTAGTAGAAACGCTTTGTTTGGTTTGATGGGGCTAGATTGGGCCAGACACATGACATCATCTGATCTGCTATTCTCTCACATGAAATCACAGGGACTGAACTACAGAACTGGCAGGTTAACCTCATGTGTGGACATTTTAGTCTAGTCTCTTATACTGCCACTGTTCTATCGAAATGTAAAATGATTGTCCTCTTATGTGGATCTCATTTTCTCAGAAACAAAAATCAGGTAAAAAAAAAACTTTTTAGGGAATTCTTTGTTTTTACGTTCGTCAGGTCCCAATCAGCCCAAATAGCAAAGACAAATTAAAAACGCATGCCATGAAAGAGTTTGGGTCTCAGGAGGTTAAAGAATTGTGAGGTTAAAGTGAGCCTCTGACAAAAGTTCAGGGCTGCTGTGCATGTGTGAGAACAGTCTATGCATCAAGCAAAAAAAACAAAAACAACAACTAAAAAAAACAGTTGATTGTGGTTTTATGTGCTTTCACTTCCTGTGGTACTGTAAGTGTTGTATAACTCATCATAACCTACATGTTTTTCCCCTCATTGTGATGCTCTTATTTTGTCTTTGTGCTGTGATGACTGGCTGCTGGCTGTCGCTTCATATTTTGACCCTTGGGCATGGAATCACTCGGCCTATAAACTTAGTCTGGATATAAAACACTGGGACAGGACTAAACTTTTTCCTTCTTATTCAAAGTATAGTTTGAGCTTTGTTTTCATTGTTAGACTAAGCTCTAGAGCAGTGGTGGGCAACTCAAGGCCTTGAGGGCTGGTGTTCTGCAGGTTTTAGATGTGTCCTTGATCCAACACAGCTTATTCAAATGGCTAAATTACCTCTACAACATGTCTCGTAGTTCTCTGGAGGCCTGGTAATTAACTAATCATTTGATTCAGGTGTGTTTACCCAGGGTGAGATCTAAAAGGGCAGGAATAGCTCAGTAGGTAGAGTGGTGGCCCCATGATCGGAAGGTCGGGGGTTCGACTCCACTGAACGGCTACCCTGAGGTACCCCTGAGCAAGGTACCGTCCCCACACGCTGCTCCCCGGGCGCTGCACTGCTTCACTGGGTGAATGGGTTAAATGCAGAGGAACTATTTCCCTATGGGGACTAACACATACACATTATACACATTATACAAAACCTGCAGGACACCGGCCCTCGAGGCCTGGAGTTGCCCACCCCTGCTCTAGAGTAAGGTTAAGAGCCTTTGTGTCCTTACAGCGTGAGGAGGAGCGCTGCCTGAGGCGAACTGGGATAGGATGACTGGATTCAGGTGGAGGGACGGCAGACGTCCGGTTTTCCTCTGCTACAGTGTAGCGCCGCTGCCGCACGTCTGCATCCAGATGCGAGTTTGGAGACTTGGGACGCATTTTCACACCTGCAAATACGCTTGTGTTCCCATCTCTGCCTCAAGGAGCAGGAAACTCAGCATTACAGGCATAAAAAAGAAAATAAATAAAGATAATTCTGAAATCCTGAAGCTTGAGTGAGGTACTTACAGCGGGACATATGGCGCTTCTGGGGGAGGAGGGATATACAAATCCAAGATGGTCGTCTTCCCTCTCTTTCCAGGAGCATCTGAGGTTTCTGACTCTCGTGATTTATAGAGACTTGGCGCTCCCTGAGAGGTCTAATAAAGAAAAAAGACAAATTTAAGCCCTTTAATAAAGGAAACAAAAGAATCACATGTAACTAACACGTTTGGTTTGTCTCTTCTAATCTGTGTTTTTGGTTGCTTCTGTGTCTCAGCACACAACAGACGATGACTTTGTGAACTGCGTTTATCGTCAAACAAAAGCGAAAGTCGTTCCAGCTCAGAGGAGGCTTTTCTGTTTCCTTCCTCACTTTCAAGTTCTCACAAACACAGGAACTTCATTCAGCTCGTTTTCTGTTTCACCTGCACTTTGAAAAACACGTTTAAAAGACGTTTCAATGCAGCCACTTTTAACCATGCCAGACTTAATCCAGTCTGGCGATACTGTGAATGCTCCTAATTGTGAAAAATCCAACGAAAGACCAAAACAAGCAGAAACTGAGTGGTTTCATTACCACTTTTAAACCCATTTACACACACATACACTTCCCTTAAAAGGGCTCATTTCATCGTTAAGTTCATTTCATTGATTGTACTATTTGTATTTCCTTCTGATATCTGTACCTGAGCTGATGCAAAAATTTCCCCGTTGTGGGATCAATAAAGTCTTATCTTTATCTTATCTTATCTTATTCAGTCAACCTCAGGTTTGCTGCAGTATACCTGATGTTTACGAAGCAAATCTGATGAATCAGTTTTGAAATATGTAAAGACCCAGTAAGATGCTTCAATATAACTGCCAACATTTAAATGCCTAGGAGTGTTTAAATAAGGAGCAAGACATTTTTCTAAAGCCCTTTGATCAAACAAAAAACAGCATCATAAACACAAAGTGTTTATGATGCTGTTTAACCCTAGAACTCATGTACAGCTAAAACTAGCAAAAGTTTACTTTTTTCCTTATTTAAACAGCAGATTTATTAACTCAGTGTTTAAAGTCATTAAGAAACAAAGAAAAAAAGAAAACAGACAAAGTTGTTTCATAAACCAGCAAACAGCTGACGTCCTGCTGCAGTTTCTCACTTTCTTGCATAAAACACGGACGTTTAAAACACAGCAATGCAGTTTTTGGGACAACTTGTTTGTCATGTCAACTCAGTTTATGCCATCCCCCCCCCGTTTTCTGACAGGACCTTAATTCCCCAACACTTACAGATGAGTTCACCTGGGTGGGTGTGGCTCCAGTGGTGGAGCGCTTGTCTCACAAAATAAGAATAAGAGGTTCCATTAGTGACCCCGGTCTTTGCTACTTGATTCAGTCATCTGTTTTTAACACCAAGCTGACTGAGCTAACTTATTCTTAACTTATTATTACTCATTCTAATAGTTTCAGGCTTGTCATTGTTCCCACTTCACAAAACAAAAGATAAACAAATGTAAGTGCAGGTGGCGTAACCTTTGAAGTGAATGGTGGGAGTGACGATGAGATAAGAGATCTCAGATCTGTTTTGAAAGACTGAGATTAGAGCCTGAGCTCATCAGCTGAGCTACCCAGCGCCTTTCTGGATTCCTATCTCCCCTAAACACACACATCCTGGACCCCTGTCAGCACAAAACCCCTGAAGGTGGTTTGGTGAATGCAGGATTGTCACATTGTGAACTAAAGTGTGAGTCAGCCACCGCAGATCTGACATCAACGCAGAGTTTTTCCTATCTTCCTTTTTTTCAGGAAAAGGGAAGAAGGGCTCCATTGTTTCACCCGCTCACCTCAGAGGAGCTGTAGACTGAGCGGCTGCTGCTTTTTCTGCTCGAATCAAAAGCTCAAAGCTACGACAAAGACTGAAAACCACCACGTGCAGCTTGATTTTCTTACCGACACAGTCTGCTTCACTTTCATGCAGTGACGTCTGTCACAACACTACAGCTGCTGCAGGTTCAGGACCTGCGTCAACTACGCCTCAACTGGAAATTCTGCAGAAAGAATCCATTATCCTTCCACATTTACCGTTATTAACCAGAACTTTGTGCATTCGTGCTTTTTCTTTCTTTCCCCCCCCCCCACAGGAAAAACTTCGACTTCTCTAAAATCGAAAACACAATCACTCCCAAATGTCCAGTTTGAACCAGGAAAAAGAACCTCTCCTCACTTCTTTTTCAGGGCCAGTAGATGAATCTGAAGGCCAAAGTGTCAATAAAGTTATGTAGAGCTATTTCAAACTATGTTTCTTAATGCCATTATTTGTATTGACAACATATAAAGATGTAAGAAATGATATGGTGATTCTAAATATCACGTTATGTTGAGCTCTTCTTCAAGGTCAAATGTTCAGAAAATGTTGTATCTTTAAGATTTGCCCTTTACAAGCTCATTGTTTAATTTTAGAGGTTTACAAGAACATGTTTGCTTGTTTTAATATCAGAAGAACAAAAAACAAAAATCTTAACAAGGACTTTATCAGACGACTTCTTTGTTTTACAGTGAAGAGAAGTGTGTTAACAAGTAAAGGCTGGATTATAATCAGTCAGTTTTATTGGGTGAATTTGTGTCACTGTTTCAATCGTGACGACAAAAACAGGGAAGTGAATCATAAAAGCTTCATTGTGAATTTTGATGTTTTAAAATTCTGTTGTGCATCAGGAAAGCAAGAGAGAAGCAAACAGGTTTGAGTACGTGTTACGCCAAACACTGATTTATCTGTGGATGGGGAAATAAAACCTTCAGTTTCTCAGTGACTGAGTTCACAAAAATGTCTGTGTGTAAGAAAAAAACAACAACAAAAAAAACAAACAAACAAAACAAACAAAAAAAACAAACAAACAAAAAAAAGAAAAACAGGTAATGTAGCGAATTTGAAATTTCAGGATATACAGACTACCTGCTCAATTCTGCTGCGAAGTTTTTCGCTGATGAAAATTCTCTTTTCGTGCTTACAAGCACACAAATAAACTCTCCTGAGCCGGGGGCTGTTAGGACTGTTAATCTGCATTTCAGATTCATTTTGGGAAGTCCGAATACTGAGCTCATGTTACAGCGAAAAAGAGAAGCGAGAATACATTAGAAAACAAAAGACTCCAGATCATGTTCAAGCGTTGCATTTTACACAGAACTTTAGGCCTGAATTCCTCATTTTTCTTGTGCAATCATCATGTTTTTGGTTTCATCAAACTATGTGGAACTTGTGGATAAAAAAGGTACACAGCAAAATCTCCAGTGTTAAATTAACACTGGAATATTTCTAACATTTTGAGTTATTTTCCAGTGATAGAAAATCAGCCCTGCTCAGTGTTAGCCATTGTTAATCTTCAAAACTGACTAGGTTACTTTTAAACATATAACACTGTCAAAAGTGTTAATTTAACACTCAACAGTGTTGTATTTAACACTCAGAGGAGTGGACCCATATAGACACTCTCCAGTGTTAATTTAACACTGGAGATTTTGCTGTGTAGAAAAACTGCAACACAAGTACTTGTTCATTTCTACTCCAGCTTGGGATTTCCCACATCATTTGACCTCTCCATGACAGGAGAATAATCTGCCACCACAGAGGGCCTCCATCAGGAAGGATGAAAAGGAGGAGACAGTCCCTGGAGTTAGTCGTTTATTTTGCTGAGAAGCACTTCAGCACAATACAAGCGGCGGCTCACCTGCACAAGCGGCGGCCTCCAGCGCAGGTTTTTCAGTGGAGCCGGTGCGAAGCTGGCAGAAGGTCCAGAGGGCCTCTTCTTCAGCATCAAGACAACACCTCCAGACTCCGCCCTCAACTTCCCCACCAGGTGCTTTAGCTGCCAGCCCACCTGGACCAACCAGAGCAAAAGTCAGAGAATTGCAGCCTCTAGTAGAGAGCGCTAGCATGAGGAAAGACCTTAAACTTCACGACCCTGAACGTCAGCGTTTAATGAAGCATTTCACGTACTGTGAGCTGTGAACTGTCATGAAACCTGCGGAAACGGATCCACCTCTTATACTTGGCCTTGGTTTAGTACTGTCTGAAACAAGCCGTTTATTGGCTTACAGTCAGTTTCATGTAATTCACATCACATTTACAGTTACATGATAATAAATATTTTATTAAGATCAATGCATTTGCATGATTGTAAAATCTATAAATCTCACTAATAATTATTTGGAGTACGTACATTTAATAAATATTGTGATATCTTCATTAATGAAAAACATGTTAAAGCCAACTTCCTTCTGATTGGCTGCTCCTGCTAAAAATAAGCATATCTGAACTGTAGGTGGGTGGAGCTTGTGTTTTCTTCGCCTATCTGAAATGGTTCAGAGCAGTCTGAAGTCTGACCTTTTATTTCACAAGGCCACGTTTAACATTAGTGTTCACTGTTGTAGCACTAAATATATGACAGAAAGGAAAAAGTCCTGCATACTGAAAAGTCGCAACACTTCAGTTTATACATAAGACAAAATAATGTGTCATCCAAGAAGATTGTTATACAACTAATACCTGAGAATCCTCAGGTACTTGACACTACAGTCAAGTGTTGAAGCTACGTCCTGCCTCGCAGACGTGTGTGGGATCTCTCCATCTAAGAAAATGACTAAGGCTATTTCCCAAAATGATGAGAAACTTGTGGCTATTCGACTCACCACTGTCTGTTTGTTGACCTGAATGACTTCATCTCCAGCGTGAATCCTCTGGGTTTTATCTGCCGGAGACTGAACAGCACACAAAGAGAAGCGCAGAGTTTAACAGACTAACATTTCATTGACTGCATGTTTCCATGATCTCTGGTAGTGATGAAGACTTTCAGGAGAGATTTTTTAAGTCTATAAATGGCACATGAGCGGCGAAGAAGACCCAGAGGCTCACTCACGTTCTCTGTTGTTCCCGTGATGACGTGAAGCCCGTCGTAGGTGGATTTGATGTAAATCCCCTGAAAGATAAAACAGAACTTAAACATCGATCTTCTGCATAAATACACCTCCCACAGTCCCTCTGTAATTCCTCGCTGCAGCGGTGGCGATGGGGTTTTCCTTTCTGGACCTACATCTGTTTCTGTTTTTGATTCAACGCTGGCTGTGGTTCATGGCGTAGCACTAAAATACCTGTTAATGATTCTGAGGGGAAGTGGGGTCATATTGTGGGTTTTTCTTTTTACAGCAGTCAGTACTTATTGGACAGCGGCGTCCCGCTGACATAGCCCAACAGGGAAATGATCATTTCTGTCCCATTTGTGTATTTTCTTTTTTTATTCTATGCCCTTTAAAAGAAAATCCTCACCAGTCCCTCCCCAGGCTTGACATTGGTGATGTGAACCTCCTCCAAACAGGCCATTTCCCTTTTTGCGGGGTCAGAAGTTGCTTGGACAGTTTTCTCACAGATGCTGTTGAGCGCTCGGGACTGAAAAACAAGAAAATATATACAAATAGGTTCAGCTTGTCCAATGGATGAATACATGCAAGTGTTCACCCAGTTATCAGGCAACAAGTGTATTACAGTGTGTTATTACACTGCTCACTCTTCTGTCCCATACTGCAACCCCAAAAGTTATTTCAAAAGATATAAGAGTCTGATTCAGATTTTATACACTTTTATAAAACTGGAAGCCTTTTTGAAACCACAGGTGTCACCCACCTGGTAGTTATTAAAAAATGCCAGTCATTGTTATTTTGTATAATTATGCATATACGTGGGTTACATTGATTTTGTAAAGGTGTCATTCATTATGTAGGTGTGTATCTATGTAGGTGTGTATCTATGTAGGTTTGCGATTTATACACCTGGGCCTTTCCATCCTCAAAATGGGCCCGAGGTGGTGACTATGCACCTGACTGGTTTGTGTAAATATGAGTTAAAGTCTGTGTTGCCTTATTTAACACTAGTTTTTCCATATTGCTGTTGTTGGTTAAACCCTACCTGTTTTGACCATATGCAACAATGTCTAATTATATAAATAATAAAACAATACATTTCTGACTGCTAACCTTCTGGAATCAAACTCTACACACCAGCTTGTACACTGCTTGAGTTTCACGGTTACATTTTAAACGACATCAACTGCATATTTGATTTCATGACTTGTCTTGTGGTTACATTTTAGCGTTTTATAGCTTGTGTAATATCATTGGACTGAAAACGAAACAAGGTACTTTTTGTCATGCGTATTCTCTCGAATAAAGAATAAAACATGATTCAAGACAGAAAGCCATTGGCAGCATGGTGGTCTTAGCTTACATCTCTCATGATGACTATAAAGTGCTCTAAATTTAGTCTGAAATGCTGAATCGCCTCCTGCACCAAATCTGCCTGATCCAAACCTCTGACCTTTCAGTGGAAAAGGGAAAGAAAACAACAGATGCAACAGGAGTTGGAAAAGCATCAAATAAAAGCTCCAAATACGGACGTGGGGACGGTGCTTGGTTTTGTTGTACGGGAGAAGAGCTTGACGCCTCTGCAGAACGAGAACAGCCTCATATTATCATCACAAATGACCAGACACCCAGGCCTGGAGCGCAGCACCGAGCCCGAGCTCATGGGAAGCAGAGAGCTGACCAGGAAAACACAAACCAGCAGGAAATTACAAGTAAACCAGGAAAACATGCTCCTCTGGGGATATAGCTGGTCAGCTTCCTGCTGTTTGTGTTTTTCAAATATGGTGACTTTATTGCTCCCCTTACAAAAACAAAGTAAATTTGCTTCATAGATATTTATCCCATAAAGTACTGGAAATATTACTAAAGAAATAATGCAAAACCAATGTTATACTTCAGCAGTTTTTAGGACTAAATCTTTAGTTCATGAAAGACACTTTTATTCACATTATACGCGCCCATCTGTCTCCATGAGGATTAAAACTGTGTGTACATTAAACATCAGGTCCATTTCCAGCCACGTTCTGTTTACTGTAAGCTGAAGCTTTTCTGTCCACTTGTCACTATAAGCCAAGTTTGCCCAAGTTAATGTCTTATAGATGTGACGAGTACAGAAAAAGTAGACTCAAAGAGCTTTTCCTGTGTAAGAAAACTCTGATTACTTACATATCAAATATCCTCTCACCACATGAATTTAAACAACGTGCATGTTTAAAATGAACATCCACCGCTGTAACAGTACAGCAGTGCTACTGTATAAAAAGAGGTCACATGACAAACTGGCTATGAGAAGGAAAGTGACTGAACTTCATCCAAGTGTGAATCCTGAAACAACAGGAAGTCTTATCTAAGACAGGAAGTGGATGTGCCTGAGCCGAATAAACAAACCTGCAGCTTTCTCACACACACACACACACACACACACACACACACACACACACACACACACACACACACACACACACACACACACACACTTTGAACAGAGGAAAGAAAAGCAAAAGCAGCACTCACCACTTCCAGAATCTTTTCCTCCATCTCATAAACTGTGCAGTCCTGGAATTACAGACATAAACACAGAGACTAAGATCTCACAAACATCTGTCCAACATCTGCTTTATTATCATCACTGTGAGAGAAAACAAAAAACAAAAAAAAAATATCAGAGAAACAAGGCAGCCCCTGCCTTTGGTTTTTTTTAATTGTATGCTTTTATTTTGAAGTGGCGTATGACACAAAAACAACTGATAAGAGTTGGGAAATTACCCATGCTGGTAAGGAAAACAGAGTCACATGATTAAACTATGTGACCCAATTTAGTATTGCTTCAAAAGCAAATCCTGTTCACACTAAATTGAATTAGGTGTCAGGATGGACGAGAAGTTCATGAACACAGATCTGAAGTCTGGATGTCCTTGGTAATATTTCACGTTAGAAGACTGAATTTGTAAAATCTGATATCAAACAAAATCTCCATACAATGTCATTCAGTGATGGCAATCAATCAATGCTTCACCTCCTCTTCTTTAACTCCTATTCTTACTGTCTTCTGATCAATTTTCTAATATTGTAATTTTTTAATCATTTGCTAAATAAGACTTTTTCCACACAACATTCTGGTGCCAAACAACTACAGCTGTGTTTTGTATGGGGTCTCGCCTTGACAGTCATACCTTTACAGTTAGTTATGGAAGAGAATTAAAAGTCATGACGACAGTAAATTTATTTTTATGTTGTTCTGTATTTGGAAAGAACTTTCAGGCTAATATCGTGTTACTGTACAGCAGACAGAATATTTTCATCTTGATGGTTAAAGAAGTTTTTTGTTTCAGAAAACAGATGCAGTGGAGCATTTTCACATCTGGGGAAAAGGAGAACTTGCTCATATCAAATTTGGCAGGTTTTCCATTCAGAAGCCAGAACTGTGAGTGTGGCAAACAAACACGGGAAAGGAGAAAGGGAATCAGCGGCAAAACAAATATTTGAGAAATGACAGCCTACAGGAGAGTGAAACCAGGAGGCAGGGACGGTGAACGCCTCCCAGAGACACCGAGAGGATTCCTGCTGCGGTCGGAGAAATAACAGTTCCCCGTAAACACGCTGACAGGATGATTGCATGACAGCGCAGCAGGGCGACGCCTCAGAAGGCTCTGCAGACACATGCAGGGAGGTGGCACGCTGCAGAAAACTTCCAAGTGCACATCCGCTTCTGAATACTTCAATAAATGAAGAGAAATCCAGCTTATTGCAAAATATGAAGCTCTGAAACAAACTTTTGCCGTCCCTAAAGGAAATTATAAAGTTCTAAACTAATGAAACGTCTGGCTGATTTGCAGCTGAAGTATTCTGCCGTTGCATAAAACATGTCTGTACGCCTCAGCTGCATTAATATGCATCATGTTTGAACTTCTCACACAATTAGTTCCCTCTTATTTTGTCGTGTGACAGCACGACTGCCTCAGGTAGACTCTGCAACGATGTAAAGGGTTACATACAATTCATCACTGATTCATGACTTTATGCTTGGTTGCACAAGACTTTGTGTAGAATAGATCTTTAAGCTGTGGATTTAGCATTAACAGAGCTGAGAAAACCTGATTTTTTTCACTTTTCTTTATGGGATAACTGATAGCTGAGAAGAAGGAGATGTGAAACAAACTGTTCTGTGACGCTAATTCCCCTCCTCATGGTAACTGTACAGTGAGTGAATTTTTTAAAAAGTCTCTTAATAGTTTATGCTTGTGCATAATTAGGGGCCTGTCACTTTAAATGACGGGTGAAAAGCACGTGAGTGGTTGTAGCCAGTCTCCGTTTGTTAGGCTTCACCTCAGGTAAACTTCCCAACTATGTTTTTGCTGTCAGTGCTTTTAGAGCATTTTAATGCAACTTTCTGACAAATATTATTCCTCTGTGTGGTAAAGACATTGAAATTAAGAGAAATTCGCAGGTTTTATAATCAAGCCAGCTATCATTAGCTGATAACTTAGCTCCACTACCTCAACCAAATGGTCACTTCTGGCTCCAGTAAAGTGGACTACCAAAATATGAAAACTGAGGCTTCAAAATGTGTTCAAAAGCTGACATCAGGGGTATGTCCATCTTTTAAATACAGTCTATAGCTTACTCTGTCCCTTAAGGAGTGTAAAACTGCTTAGATGACATGTTCTTTGGGCAGCAGCATTTTAGGATGGTGCATGAATATACGTCTTCACAGAATTGGGATGCTTCTTAATTATAAATGTAAAACTTTTAAAATGTATTCAGGACACGTACTTGACATTTCCCACTCTCCATGAACTGGTTTTGTTGCAGTTCCACATCTTGTGCTTTCATTTACATTTTAGTAATAATCTCAAAGTTTCTAAAGTATGAAACATGTAAGGATCTCAGCTATCGGAAGGAGATATGCCATCAAAATGACTGTGCTCATGTATACAGTAGTTATCTGGAGCTTCTTCATGATCATCACCACCAACAACAACAGATCCAGAAAATAAACATTTTAGTTCATGACCTCCTTCCTCTCTGATGTGTCTTTATGACAAGCTGCTGCACACAGAAAACATCAGAGATCTGTTTCTCTTTTAAGGTCTCATGTGGAGATTGTATTTCCAAGAGTGGATCTGTTAATCACTCAGGAAAGCACAGAAACACTGAAGAAAACACAGAGCGGCGTCTGAGCGTCACTGACCTTCTGGACGGTGGAGGTGAGCTCCAAACACAGCTGGATGATCTTGCCTTTGGTTGAGGTGAAGTCATTGGCACTCGACAGAGGAGTCCTAGCAAGAAGAGAGAAACTAAAATTATAGAATCATGTCAGTGCTGGCAGACAACAGGGCAACGTTTTAAAACGGATTCAAAATACGAGCAGGGCCACAGACTATTCGGTCTCTTTATACACTACCTCTGATCTTTTACTGCTTCACACTGATCGGCCATGAACAGCCAATGGTAAGCAAGTGAAAAACAGTGGAAAAAAAACAGCATGCAATGCTGAACACTTTAAAACACATTTTAAAAAAGGACAGAACATCAAAGAAATGAATGAAAATTTGACTTTCTGTAAGTTTTCATTAACTTCAGATCATAATAGCTGTTCCAACCCAAACATATCGAGTATGAAAATTTTTTGGATGAGATAACTGGATGGAGACTGAATAAAAAGTGGCCCCAGGTGTTTCTGGGTGAGCGAGCTGACACACTTCAGATGTCAGGTGCATTATGGGGCATCCATGTTTGTTTCCAGCTGCTGCAGCCAAGCTGGAATGTGTTTCAAGCTGATACAAGCTGCAAAAAAGCTGAAGGAGTCAAAGCGGCGATGCAGTAAACTGGAGCAGTGCTGCGAGGAAACACGATACTAAAATAATCAGAACGGAGGGGAGAGTACAACCGCTATCTTAGAAGGAACAAAGTTGTGCACTGAGCTGCACGTTATGAGTGAACTTCTGACTGACACGTTAATAAAAGCAAATGCCATGTTAGTGAAAGTGTTGTGTGAGCAATTATGCAAGTACAGTTAAATTTACAAATCCAAAAGAAAGCCTGGATGAAAACATCAACTGTGACATCATGGTATCCAGTTTTATTTTTATGCTTTTTACGAGATCGCGGTTGTTTTAATGAGCAAATAATGTTTCGTTTTTAATACCAGGATACTCTGAATGCCGTCGTGGTTACCTGTCCAGCCAGGCCAGCAGATTCTTGGCGGTGCCGATCAGTTCGACTACGGCGGTGAGGAATTCATTGGTGGGCTGATTGGAATTTTTGCTGTGGTAGGCGGGGTTCTTCCTGCGCTGCGTCACGGCGCTGCTCAGGTTGTGGTGCGCTGTTCTCATCTTCCCCACCAAAGTCTTCAGGTTGTCCGACTCCACGCCATAGTTCTGTTAAAGAAAGATGAAAGATTCAGTGAAACAAACCTGCTTCTTACTCAATTATTAAACATAAAGACTACACTTCCCATCAGCACTGTCACTATTTCCTGGCTCACTAACCTTAGCACAAGTATGCTGCCGCAGGAAACTCTGAAAGAGGCACTGCGGAAACGTTACACTGCACGAAGCTGCAGTTTGAGGAGTCCACATTGTATTTTGCACCTCAAAGTACTTTTTGTTTGAGAACACACAACAATGTTCAGGAATGATTGGAGGGAATTTAGAGATTCCCACGACCCTTGACCACAAACACACCCTGTCTCCCTAATGAAAACACACACACAAAAACCCCACACACATTCCTGCAAACCAGTCGCCATAGCGATTATGCGACTTAAAAAAAAAAAAAAAAAAAAAAAAATTCCCCACCACATCAACGTCAAACTAAATGACTCACAATGAAATGACTCATCAATGCCACGCGTTTAATTAATCAGTTTAATGAATCTGATACCTTTTTGTTTATTTTCATGAATAAGTGCAGATGTGTTACGTTTATGTGTTATTACATCTGCAGGTCTGAACACGACCTTTGATTCGCTTTGTCGCCTGCAGCGATTCAGATGTTTGAGGCTTCATGACGCTCAAAGACAAACAAAACATCTGGAGCCAAATCGACGTTCCACCTTGACTGAACGCAGAAAACACATCCTTCATAACACAACATGACACCTGACCTCATGTTTCAGGCAGAACTTTCAAATCGTGTTAGAAAGGATGTGATCCCTAGGTGTCAATCAGAAAAGAGCTCAGGATGATGCTGGGCTGTGATGGAGTGAAACAAGGAGCATAACTATCAGAAGGTTTTTAGGAGGTTCAAGTATTTTAAAACTTTCAGAAAATGACGGCACTGAAGTGAAAGATCTCTAGAAGTATTACAGATCAAACAAAATTTATAAGGTCTTCAAAAACAGAGAAAGTACCCAATCTGCACATTTGAACAAACTGAACCAACAAATTTTCATCATCTCACATAAATAGAAGCTTCTCTGGTAGCAGATTAATTGTGTCAGCTCCACTCTTTTCATATGGAGAGGCAAAACTGCCAAAAATCATAAAGAAAAGAGAGAACAACTATCTCACACAATCTGCACACAAAATCATTTATAAAATGCAACATTAACCAGAAATCTTGCCAACATCTGGATAAATTAATATGCCAAACACATCAAAATCTATAGAAAATGTTTAATGTAACTGTCAGTATAAAACAATGCTCGTTTCCTCTTTTCTTCCACATTATTATCCCCAGAGCATCATCTCTGTAATTTCTTTTTACGTCTGTTGTGGAACAGAGACAGCTGCCTCCAGTCAATCAGGAGACCTGAGCTGAAACAAAAAACATCTTTTTCCCTCAACAGCGGTGAACCCAACTGCAGGCCTCCCTGATCATTGAGTGCATCATGATTGTTACACAAAATCTGGGTCATTAAGAGCCTGTGGCTGCCTAATGTCACTCCAATTATCAGAATAAGTCTGTGGTATGTACTGAGGGTTAAAGTCGGGAGAGAAAAGGCCTCTCTTGTTCTGTTAAATGAGCCTCAGTTGAAAACTGATCATGTGACAAGACGCTGGAACAAAACTCTTCCTCTACATGCTGAAAACTGTTTGAATGTGTGTGTGTGTCAGGGGAAGGGTGGGGGGGTCTCTGACAGGTGGGAGGGTCACATCTGTTTCCTGCTCCACCCCAAAATGCAGCAAACTCTGCCTCATGCTGCAAAAAATATCCACACCACATCATTTGACCTTGCTTGAATGCTGCAGGAAAACGCTCCCTGAAACTTTGGAGCTGTGTGTGCTCTGATCGCAGCATTGATTGGTTAGTTTCAGTGTGATGTCATAACTGTATTTTTCCAGAGGTACGTGAAAGCATTTCAGGAAATGACACGTCGCTTGTGCCCGTCACATGGCTGAGGGAGGATGTGGGATACAGACTAAAGCTCTGAAATACGCTACTGTCAGGTTGTTCAGCCTTACCTGGGGTCAGGAATCTAATAAAGATCAGCTAATTGCAAACACAAATACAGTATGAAGAGGGGTCTGACTAGCACTCTTTAAGTTGCCTTTCCTTATGACATTCCTAAAGACTGAATCATATGACAGACAAAGCCGTTATGAACCAGAAGCAAATAAATTGTCATTTATTTGGGCAAATCCCCCACTGTACTAACGATTCCACCGATTCAGTAAAGGACTAAATGTTACAATCCCGGACAATGCATTGCTTTTAATGTACAAAATCTTGAGGGATGGCTTGAGGGATCAGATATATATCGGATGACGATATAAAAACATCTATCGTTTCATTTTACGCTATCGTTTGTTTCGTGGTGTCGCAAAATAAACTGTTTACGGCAATATTTTTTCACCGTTTTGATGGTCACTGTAGTGGCTATATAATTTCATAAATTTTTCTCTTTCTCTTATATTTTATATAACCACACTACGGACGGACAAGCGCCTGTTTTTTTTATGCGTTGTGGTTAGGAACAACGACGGTAACGCCATCGCGTGTCCGCTTGTTTATGTTCCACATAAACCTTTCACAATAAAGCTCAAGATCCTGTTGAGACTTTTCTAAATAAACTGAATCACGTGAAAGAGCAGATTATTTACGGATGAGAAGTAAAAAAGAGCCATCAGGTGCTAAAAAATAAACCTTAGACTCAAACGTTAGAACAGGCTTTTCCCGGCAGCAGGCCGTGTAATTAATACTCACAAAGAAAACGGCGGCTGTTACAACTTATGTCTAAAAATGTATAGTTTCATGCATCGGTTAAAACACTCGACTCCAGCTACATGACGCGCAGCTGGAAACACTTCCCGCAAGTCGAGCTGCCCGAGATTCACAGAATTTACAGAAAATGTTGCATTTTTGTGATTTATATCGTTATCGGATGATAGATGTCTTATATCGGGATATGAGATTTTGGTCATATCGCACAGCCCCAGCTGTTATGAGGAAAAGCCATATATATAAAAAAAAAAAGACTTTTCACTGAAATGTTGGGAGTTTTAGGAATCTTCTCTTCAGCCAATGAAGTATTCTGTGTTTTAATGCTTTTCACATTTAAACAAACATTGAAAAGTTCAGTTACAGATGTCTGCGTGTAAATGTCATATTATCAGATAGCAGTCAGACAATCTGAACAACTATACTGGAGAAAAGTTGATATGGTGGACACAGTAATTTGTAGTTAGTGCGGTTGATAAGTGTCTGTTGTGGTCACTTGTTCTTTTATCGTCACCATTTGTTGGCGGGTACAGCAGAGTGTCAGTCTCCATTTAAAAAAAGCCACTGAATCCTATTCAGGCCAGTCACAACATTAAACCTCAGCACAGCCTGTAAATCCCCCTTTTCACCACCACCCAGACGTTAGAGCCCATAAACAGCTGACTGAGGGGCTCTGTGTGTGCTTCAAAACTTTAAACGGGTCACACCAAAGTCTGCAGCCACTACACAGCTATTATGAAGCCTCAATGTTAGTTTTTCAGGGTCAGGTGATTCGCACATCCAGTCTGCCTTTTGCAAACCAACCTACCTGCTAGTTAACTCCACCTTTGTGTCTGGATATGGTTAGCCAGCCTAAGCTGGAGTGACTTTCAGGATAATTTAATTTCAACATCACTACTACCCTTTCTGTTTTCCTTCCAATATTAACTCTATGATAGATGAAGTTTCCTCTTATGACGTTCTCCATGCTGAGTCACCGGATCATTTACTCTTCTGTCGTCTCTTTGTTTCAATGTCCACGTGTCATCGGCTCAAGTCACTGGTTATTTCATTCATTACTGATTTTCATGCATAACTGACGTGCTTTTAAACAAAGATTTCTGCTCCCGTTTGACACCTTCTGGGCATTAAAAACATATCACACAGCTCTGTGTTTCACAGCGAAACAATTTTTTTAGAAATCATATAAATGTTTGCCATTGATTTGTTTGAGTGAAAACAGGAATACTGAACTTTTTAGCCACGACCGACTAAACCAAAACTCAGTTCCACTAAAGGGCACAACAGGAGAATCACAACACAAACTACTGCTCAACTTTCATTCATTTGTGGCATTAAACCTAAAAAACCGAAGATAAACTCTGTAGTTTCCTAGAAAATCCCTCTCTTGCTCAGTTTTCAGACTTTCTGAGAAAAACTGTCCAAATTTATCAGACACAGTAGGATTCTGATCACAGCACTGGTCTTATGATTGTTATGATGAACACTGAGCTGTTTTAATGCCCCCTCAGGCAGCGTGTAATGTGCATGGTGGTAGCTGTGGTGCTGTTTTTAAATGCAATTGAAACATTTATTTAAAAGAAACAAATCTTTGCTCTAGAAACTTTTACACAAGGTTTACAGCACTGCCATCAGTGATGGACAGAAAAGGATCATCTTCTGCTCTGCTGCTGAACTTATAAGCATCAGCCAATGAGTCTAAGCAAAGATTCCCAAACCTCCCTCCTTCCTGGACTCTCCAGACTTTCCAAGGCATTTCCAGTCCTGAGCCTCCCCTGGAGTGGACTCCCTGGACAAGCCAGAAAAACATGACAAGTGGCCAAAAATGGATGGAAGCTCAAACTGTGAAGCTCAAATTGAGATATCCCCTTTACTAACTGCTAACTCAGTTAACTCCAGTGCATGCATTCGCCTACAACATTTTTATGGTTTGTAACACAAGCCAGGTGTTTGTGTGGTCCAGACACCATCTCAGCAGAGTCTCACACGGAGAGAAGCTTTGGCAGTTTCTCATCAGCATCATTAGAAATTGTTTGATTGAACAAGAATTGGAGGTCAACACTGCTAAAGACATATCTCAAAGGACTTGAAACAGGTATATTTAACATGCTGACTCATGAGTGATGACAGCGGACACTGAAATCCACAGTTATATAGTAGAGGAACATTTCTAAACAGGAACGTTATCAGAAGTAAAAAGAGAATGTGGGATTTTCTGATTTCTAACTGACCAGAGCGCAGAGCAGATCCACCGCCTCCAGGATCAGCTCCTGGTGTCCAACCCTCGCCACGCCCAGAGACAGCAGCTCCTGGTGGGACATCCTGAGCAGCTTCTCCCCATCCACCTGCAGCTGTTGGAAGGATGGGATGTACTGCTGCAGGCTGTCATCCAGACCTGAGAGAGACAACGACAATGAAGCACATTTAATGTTCACAGAACAGGTTATTGATGAAATTCACCATTTTAATTCAGCAAAACTCAGGTTTGAAATTTATTTGAATAAACTGACAAATTCATCAGGGATGCAACACGATTAGTGTTTTATAACAGAAGTGCTTTTGATTGCTCACATTTCTAGGTTGTATATCATGGATCACCAATCAGCCTGGAGTTCTTAAGGCACACACATGCAAGTAAACCAGAGCATGACTTCAGCATCTGAGTTTCAGTGAAAGTCATCTCTCAATGATCCATTCAGGTCTTACAGCAAACAGCTGCTGAGTCAACATCGCCTTATTGACTCAATCAGTCACTGTGACAGCCAACAGCCTGGCAGCGTCCTGCCAGCTCACCAAACCACACCTTTTCTTAAATCCATCACCTCCGTCAACCAACCAACAAGCAAACTATTTTCGTCACCTAATAACAGACCAAGAAACACATTCCTGTATAAAGGAATACGTTTCTTTCAATAACTTACTGTCTGTTTGTTAGTCCTAGACTTTGTTTCAAGTATAATGTTTTTCTGATTTTATTTATCTAACTTTACCTGAGTAGCTAAAGATAGCTAGGACAATTTTAATTAGCCCCATTTAGTTTTTTTAAAATCTCAGTCTCTCTGTTACAGTCGCCTCATTTTGTTGTTTCTTACAATCTCAACACTTCCTGTATATTTCAAATTGAAAGTCCTATAGCACTTGTAACTGTACAGAAACCCTTCACATCTTAATGAGGCTTTTATTGTGAAACATTTGCAGGAACAACACTCAAACTAATTTGATTTGAAGAAATACATTTGACAATTTAAGCAGTAGTTATTAATGTTATTAATGCATGACTTACTCTATCACAACAGAGAATATGCGAGAAGAGAGCTTTACTGTGAAAGGAGGGAACAGGATGAGACCTTTTCCCCCCCACATGTGTAGAACAAATTGAATTTCTGGCATGAATCAATCCTTGACAGCCAACTCAACCACACGCGTGCATGTGAACATCGTCGGGGAGCTCACGTGTATTGAACTCGTAGCACTAATCCTCTGTACCATCATCACAAATCTACGGCTACTGTCACTTAATACTCAATACTCAAATCATCAAACCATAAAGTGTTGGTTCATTTAACATTTAATAGCTCTGCCAGTAGTGGTTAATGAGCAGGTTTGCATGCTTAATGACATCTTTCTCTGGTGGCCCGGTATGGTCATACTGGGCACCCCACTTTCAGCCCCGTGACCTCATGAGACCTCAAGGGAGATGGCGCCCGTTTCAGCGGCGCCACTTTGCACCCAACATTCACCTCTGACCTCTGTGAATGAGTTCAAAGAGTTCTCTTAGCTGGATCAATAAAATGAGCAATCACGCACCAGTTACTGTCTGACACACATGAGCACAGAAAATGTTCGCTGCAGGGTTTTTGGATGTGTTTGGTTGGGAAGAATATGAAAAACTCAATAATGGGAAAATATTAAGCATACATGCACACATTGTACGCTAAAGAGAAGAACTGTCTACAGCAATTTAACAGTTCAACAGCCTCTACAACTCTCCGTTCTGCCAGCGTGAAATCCTCCATCTCAAAGTTCACTCCACAGCATTGTTTTTGTTCAAAACATTTCAACGAGTTCTTTTTCTTGATTTAAGTTCAGACTTTAATGACCCACAGGAATCCTGCATCATACTAAAAATAAATGTTAGAGTTTTAGCACACAAGCTTTCAACAAATGGCAGATGATGATTATGTTATGCAGAAGCCGAGTAGCAACTGGCCAACAAAATGTCTGGGAGGGTGAGAAGAAAACAACTGCCCCAGCATGTGGTCATTAAAGAAGCTGCGACTCCTGTTTGTGTTCGGGACGACAGATGGCCCACGCTTTCTCTCTGACAGCAGGGAGGAACATTCCTCTTAACTAACTGCTGACGGGACACCTCCGAGTTCAGCAGCCTCTGACACAGAGTTGCACAGAGAATACAAAGCGTGTTTATTTGCTTACTGATAGTACAACGGTAAGATTCGATTAATTTTGGTCTTTATTATAAAAAGGCCAGAATAAAGACTCACAGGATTTCAGCAAAGTTTGAGGGGGTGAAATTGTCTGGGAAGGACTCCAAATCAGGCCCCAGCAGGAGGATACGGGTCGTCTGCTCATCCCCCAACAGGGTAAAATTGAGACCATCTGGGGGAGGGATGGGCAACACTTCAGGACATTCTCAGAGGGCCAGACTTTAAACAACGGATTTAAACATGCATTGTCTTTTGATCCCCTTCCTATCATTTTGAAAGTTAAGCACTTAGTACTGAGCCTTCCTCATAGAGTGATCTGGTCACCACTCTCATCCTGCAGAATGACAGACTCCAACTCCAACTCCAGCTTCTTGGACTGCACCCAGCAGTCCTGCATCTGATTTGAAGATCTGCTTCCAGAACCTGCTGCAGGTGGAGAGCTGAACGAGTCACAAACAGCAGCTTCAGATTGTGGATGGGATGAGAAAGTCACTGAAAGACAGTGATACTGATACTGCTCCTTTATTGTCACAAAATATATTTAGTTTAATTTGAGGTGGTAATTAGCAATGGATCAGTTCATGATAAACAAGAACAAGTTTGAGATCCCTCCATTAAAGCATGTAAATTAAACTTTAATTAAAAATTCTCCATTCATCAAACTAAAAGAAAACGAGATACTACTGTGAAAGCCTTGAACTCCTATATCTTCACACATTCATTTTGGTTTCTGCTCCAGTTCAGTTGCTCCTGAAAGTTTCTCAATACACCCAAATTGAAACTGTGACCATACTCCCAAACCTTCCTCAGGTAAATATCCACAATTCCTGCTCCTTCTAGGTTGTAGCGCATCTCCACACTTCAAACTAAACTCCCTCTGCTGTTGGTCAGAGCTGGACAGCAGTTTGCATTCAGCAGGAATGTGTTGGTGACAGCCTGGATCACATTACTGTCACCCGAGGAGGCCGATAATCTCTCAGCTGCACAGCAGGGTCGGCTAAACGTCACACGGAAGCCAAATCGCCTGCTAATGAAAGCATGATAACAAAAGACTGAGTCTCCCTGAAAAGCAGAGACAACTACCATCATAACATAAGCAAACATGAGTTTCTGCTAAGCTTCTACACTTGATTCTTCCTGTGATGCATAAACATCCTGCTCAGATGGGAAACGTTTGATAGATTCAGGTCTGAAAACCAATGGCTTAGACAGTTTGCTCAAATTATGGGAGATTAACAAGTTAAATAAAATAGATAAAAGAATAAAAACTCAAGTCCAACACTCAGGTCTGGATCCAATGTTCCAGCAATACATAAAAAAAATCATTAATTTCTGTAGCTGCTGAGTCATTTTTATCATTCCTCATCTCGATGATTGCTCTGTCGGGTTTGGCGCTCAGCCCAAACTCTCGGAAAGCCGTTTCAAACCTCTGACAGGCGCCGAGGATTGAGCCGGATTACCACACTGTAACACTGCTGAGAGCCTTGTGTTGGCGGTTTAGTTGTTTGGTTTGTGAGATGCTTCTCAAGCAGCACGAATAATTAAACACAGCAGATGATATCTGTGTGAACCTTTTCTGTCCATAGCACCACAAGAAACACTTACTTTAGGCAGAGCTGGAGAGAAACACTCGTTTATTCAGCAAATATGGTCTGAAACAGTAGGGTTATCTCTTGGGATAAAACTGAACCACAGAGGTTCATTCAGATCATCTCTTACTGAGCACGAAATATTGGAGAAAAATGCTTGTGTCTATGTAAAGAGATTTGGTTGACATCTTGGTTGTCCCCTTTGGTACAAAATGTTTGATAATTATTGCTTTAACATGATCAGCTGCATAGGTGGGGGAAAAGCAACTGTATCTGCACTTATGTTTTTAGTTCATCTAATTTGTACAGACTTGTAATGTGAATGTTTCACAGTGTACTCTGAGCTCAGGTTCAGACTGATGAAATATTCATAGCCTGTTTCAGAGGATTGATTTCCAAACAGGTGAGAGGAAGGAGGAGGGACAGCAACGCTGGGAGCAGATCAGCTGCTTCATTCACCGACATTTACAGACAAACTGCCAGTGACTCACAGTTCCAAGCCCATCCGAGGCCATGGAACACCTTTTCAAAAGACGTGAAGAAACAGTGCACGTATCGAAGGGCATTTCCTCGATGCTCATCGATACGTCCAGTGTCAGCTAGACCTGTGTCGCATCATATCGTCTGAGATAATGCCGGTATTCATTTTTAAATGATATAAAATATCATATTGTGGTATGATTGCTATAGCAACTCCATGAGCTTGTGTTCCCTGTGCACACAACAATAAAAAGAGCCCAGGCATGTCTGAGAGGAAGCCTCCAGTATTTGTTTAATGCTGCAGAATCGACTGCAGAACATCCCAGGAAGAAAATATTTTCAAGGTCAAGTTATTTTAGTCATTGTAAAACAAAAGTGTGAAGCCAGTTATGTTGTACTTAACATTTCCAGGGAAAATACTGTCCACGCTACTTTTGTGCTTACCCATGCAGTCTTATTTCACCTTTTTCATCGGAAAAAGATAAGACATAAATACTGCATACAATGAACACAGTTTTACTGAGTGTTTAGTATTTTTGTCTGTATCATCAGAAATGCTGTTATTGCAAGTGTTCTTTAAATATACTGTCAACAAAAGAAAACTGTTTTTAACTTTCAGTTTTTAACCTCTGATTTTAAACTTACCTACTCCGAGTTCACTGCCATCACAGCACAGTTAAAATGAGAGAACCATCTCAGTATTTCCGTTGAAACTTTTGTGTTTGTTGACAGAATAAATTCTGCTTGACATGAAAGGCCATTAGAGAGCAAAGTGCACAGACACTCTGAACTCTGACATGATTCCTGAATTCCTACATTCACTTTGTTTATTGTATTTTGCTCTTTTGATGACCATACAGGGAGTGCAGAATTATTAGGCA